TGATCCTAAGGACCTCAATAAAGCTTTGGAAAGAGAACATTATCAGCTTCCGACTATCGAAGAAATCACTGCTCGAATGCCAGGTGCATGTTTCCTCTCGATGTTAGATGCAAGATCGGGCTGTTGGCAAATACCTCTGGACGAAGAAAGCTCGAAGCTCGCGACTTTCAATACACCGTTTGGGCGCTTTAGATTTCCCGAATGCCGTTTGGAATCCGAAGTGCGCAAAAAGTGTTTCACAAAAGAATACATGAAATCTTTAAAGATATTGCTGGAGTCGAAACAGACATCGATGACATTCTTGTTTGGGGGAGAACACTTAAAGAACGCGATGAACGTCTCAAGGTAACGCTGGGTCGACCTAGAGAGAGCAATCTAAAGTTTAGGTTAGAAAAATGTCACTTCAGAAAAAAGAGTGTGGTGTATATTGGACATCAGCTCACACACAAAGGTGTCAAACCAGATCCACAGAAAATAGAGGCAATCGTGAACATGCCACAACCCGAGGATAAAAAGGGAATTCAAAGGCTTCTTGGTATGGTCAATTATGTTGGAAAATTCGTACCAAATTTATCGGAAATCACTTCACCTTTACGACAGTTACTTAAAAAAGACATAGCGTAGCACTGGACCGAGAGACATTCTCATGCTTTTGAAGAGATAAAGACCTTACTCTCAAGTCCACAGCCTGGCATCTTAGCATATTATGATTTAATGAAATTAGTTTATCTTCAAGTAGACGCCTCGAAATCGGGACTAGGAGCAGTAATTATTCAATCAAATAGACCAGTAGCATACGCTTCAAGATCTTTGACACGAGCAGAAACAAGATATGCACAGATAGAAAAAGAATTGTTAGCGGTCGTGTTTGGGTGTAATCGTTTCTATCAGTACATTTATGGCAAGCATGTCATAGTAGAATCGGATCATCAGCCACTGGAAACCAGCAAGAAATCATTGGATAAATGACCACTTCGCTTGCAAAGAATGCTCCTGAATTTACAGCGGTTTGATATTGAGATAAAATATAAACAGAGAACTGAATTATACATAGCAGCTACGTTGTCCAGAGCCCATTTGTCAAATTACAAATCAGAGGAAGAAACACTTGATTTGGATTATCAAGCGATCGCTATGATCTCAATGCTACCATTGTCTGACGGCAAACTAAGAGAAATTAAAGAAGAAACTAATAAGGATGAAATGATGAAAGAGCTAGTGAGAGTGATTACTGAAGGTTGGCCAAATGATAAGAAAAATCTTTCAAGCTTCTTAAAACCATTATGGAGCTACAGAGAAGAACTGACAGTAATTGAAGGTGTGGTGCTCAAAGGAGAAAAGATCTTCATTCTACCCTCACTGCGAGGAAGTGTTTTAAATAAAATTCATCTAAGCCACATGGGCATTGAAATAAGTAAACAGCGTGCTCGTGAGCTGGTATAGTGGTCAGGTATAAATAAAGATATTCAGACAGTTGTTGAAAATTGCTCAATTTGTGCTGAATATAGATGCGGCTAAGTAACTACAGTTAAAGAGATAACTACGGCAGTTAGCGTTAACTATAGTTAAAGTTAACTACGTTTTTATACATCTGGCCCCAGGTAATTTCTGTACAGATCAGTGGTTGCTAAGTATTTTTGAAAAAGCAATACTTGGAGTAATGCCATCACATGTTTGTAAATGATGATCGTCCAGGTTAATAAAGTCCTGAGAAGGACTGTTTTTGTTGTTGTTGACTGACGTTTCGACAACCTTAGCGGTAGTCATCTTCAGAGTCAAAAAAAAAATTAGTTACAGTGGTAACTAATTCAGACTAATGTCGTATGATCTTTTTTGTGTTATTTTAACTCATAGAAAATTCCTTATACTTTAGAAGCACAATGTGAAATGCCAAGCAGACATAACAATCCGTCCGCAAAAACACGTGAGGTCAAGAACCACTCAAACAAAACTGCCAAATATGATAAGTAGAGGTATAGACTTTCCATTTCGACGGTCTTAATTTTGTGAAAAATCCAGCATTACGATAATTTTATGCTAAGGTACGGAGGTTGAGTTCATTTCAACAAAAAATCACAGCACACAGACGACGTCATGTGAAATTGAACATTTTGAGGACAGCGCTGTATGGTCTGATACAGAAAGCACGTTGACGATGAGCAATAGCTACAATGGATCAGACTCACAATGTTCAAATGAGTTAAGCGAAAATGAAGAATCCGACAATGACAATGCGACGTTAGTACCAACAATCCAGTCACCTGACTATTCTTTACATTGCTTTTCTCTGTTATATGTTTCTCAGAACGCTACGTTTATCTCTCTCTGATTCTGATGGTAATTTTTATGTTATAGGAAAGATGCTCAAAATGAGAGAAAATACATAGTGTTTGATAGTTGCCAGAGACAGTTAGTAATTCAATGCCCATGTTGTGGTGAAAGCTGTTCCACTGTGACCAAAACGACTGGTGGTATGGTTAACGTACTAGCAAAATGTCATTGTGGTTATGTTCGAGAATGGAATAGCCAACCTCTGCATGTGCAAATGCCTTTGGGTAACTTGGTCTCTGCTGCCAGCATTTTGTTTAGTGGTAGTAGCCCCAGAAAGTTCTTCAATTCCTTCGTCACTCAAACATACAATTTCTGTCAGAGCGCACATATAGCTATATTCAAACAGCGTATTTGATACCCAGTGTTTCAAATGTTTGGCATATGCACCAAAAGCATCTTCTAGAATCAATCAGAGAAAGGAACATTAACCTTGGAGGAGATGGAAGATGTGATTCGCCTAAATATAGTGCCAAGTATGGGTCATATAGCTGCATGGATTTGGAATCTAACAACATTTTAGACACACAACTTGTTCGGTAACAATTCTTCAACAACTGCACATAAAACATGGTTAGAATACTCACATAATTATTTTAAACAGTCCAATGAAGGGACCAACTCTGGAGCGATGGAATTTGGGGGATTAAAAAGATGTCTGGCAAAGTTTGATGAAAGTGGGATGAAGGTGAAGTCAATGACCACAGACAGACATGCTCAAATCAAATCCTACATGTCAAAACAAAGACCAAAAATCGAGCACTACTTTGATGTATGGCATGTAGCAAAAGTTATAGATTGTCATAACAAACCAAACTTTTACACATTTCATCAATAATCAAAATCCAACAGGAATCAAAAAGAAAATTTTGGCAGCATCAAAAAAAAGTGGTTGCAAATTATTGTGAGATTGGGCCCAATCAATTTCCAACCATGTATACTGGTGTGCTGCTTGTCAAGGCAAAGTGGTTGCCAGTTCTCAACCATATATGTGACATCCACGAGGGACATAGTGATATATTCCCAAAATGTGAACATGATATGTTAGAGCCTAGAATGCGGATAAAAAAAGGTATTGTAAGCGAATAAATTTCAAAGTAACATCAACATTCTTTTTTTTGTTAACTAACTTCTCATCTTAGGTTCACAAGCTTATGTTGAGCTGTCTTTGATTGTTGAGTCCAAGTATCTCATGAGAGATATTGGAAAACTCAGTTATCAGAAGCAGACTTCGTCCATCGAAGGTTTCCACCGAGTGGTGATTCTTTTTGCACCAAAACATACCCATTTTTTCTACAGATCAATGGAAGCAAGGTAATATAATTATGATTTGTGAACGATTACTTAAAAAAGTTATCATTGCAAAAGCAATAAGTTGCAATAGTTGTAAACATAAACTTAACATTCATTTGTTGATTGTTTATTGCCTCTCTTCATTTCAATGAGAATGGCAATAAAGCTCAGAAAACAAAGAATGGTGGGCAAACAGAAGAGGCAATTATTTGGAGAGTGGCTTATTCAAAGTCAAAGGAAGGACAGGGGGTCATCAAACCAGTGAAAGTTGACAGCACTTATGGTTAGCACAGAAAAATAAACTTACCTTTTCTCAAAGTGCAATGCAAAGCCAACATAAATAATGATTTGCTTTTCAGGATATGTTAAGGACTTCATGAAAGAAGTTTTGTACTGCAGACGCATTAATCCAACACTGTCCAAAGCTCTTGATGTCGCTGGAGTGAAAGAAATACCTATCCCATTGACTCGCCACAAATCAAAAATCAGCAAAGCTGAAGCCATTAAGCAACATAAATCTCGTTTTGATAAATAAAATGCAACTAACCATTCAACATTTCCAATTCTGTGAATATATTCATCTTTGCTTTCCGATGACGAAAAATTGTCATCATTATGGACCACCTTTCGCGTTGGCCAAAGGCTCAAACATGTAAGGTTGTACCTCATTGTTATTGATGACAATATTATAATCGGCTTCTTCAGAAGGAGAATCCATTAATTTTTGTTAAACAAAAAACAATAACTAGCAAACTACCTTAATAGCAAACTACCGAAAGTCGTGCAAGTCGTAGAACGATATAAGAACGATGCTTGTTTATGTCAACTAATACGTCACTCTTTCCCAGTTCCCAGACTTAAACAATCTCACGGCGTTTTAGCTTTGGGACAAGTAGCAAGGCTTCACGTGCCGTCCCTGATTTCGACTGATTGTATAACACGCGCCACAGGGCGACAAGATATGATGATGATGACGGCGTTTTAGCAATGTTCATCGAATACCGTGTTTTTACCGATTATAACCCTAAATATCTTTTGAAATATTTTGCAGACGACTTTGAAACTTTGTACGTCTTATTTTCACGCTATAGGCCTTACAATAAAATAAAGTTGTCCTCTAGCTTGCATGTGTCCTTTAATCGACAGAATGAAATGAAAAATTGTTAGGAAAACGACATTGCGATCTTTTCCGATAAAACAACGAACACACTAAACGGCCCTTTTAGTCATAGCTCGTACGTCCGACTATCTCCGAGAATAAGGACATACAAACCGCACATGCGCAACGGCTACCCACAAAAATTCTGAAGGGAAGAAAAATTGTACAAGAATGAATTGAGAATATAATTAATCACAAGAGGTGATTAATTAAGGGTGAATTCAATGGACAAGTTAATATATTCCTTAATTTTTCTTGTTTATAAATGAACAGAATTGTTATAGAAGAAAATTGGCTATTATACTGGTAAAACAGCAATTTAAAGTTACTTCTCTCTTCATCATGCAAGCATTGTATACAAATTGTAAAATGTCAAAGGTCCATGGTTAATTTTAACAAAAAATATAACGGTCGTTTGGTTTTCTGGTTGGTTACCAGAATGTACACTGGATGATTTATTACGCTTTAAAAGACGTCATTTCCAGTTTTTCCTGCTCTGGCAAGGTCGTTGAAGTAGGGTTGCTGCTTGTGTAAACATTTCCTTTCTTCTTTTTATTCATGTTGATCTCATGGAATCGGCCTTCGGATGTCGTCTGAGGAGTGTAACGCTTTCGGCTATTTTCCGATCCACGTTGAGTTTGACAAAGTTTTGCGTACTTGGCACGTGTATCCGAAGATAGCAGGCAATAAAATACGAATACTAAAAATCCTTGAAAGGAGTTGAGTATGGCAAACAAATATTGAAAAACTAACTTTGCGTCGCTTAAAGCAAACACGCCAAATATCCAGGTTAGTCCAAGTACAATCAAAATGGCGGTTCCTCGTCGTACGTGCTGCAAACCAGTAGCTTTCTTGTCAGCGGCAACCTTAGATCCAGCATTCAACAGCGAGTGAATTATGAACACAAATGCGACTGCATTAAGAGCAATAATTAAAACAACTGGAGTTAGGAAACCATAATAAAACGGCGAACCTTGTACACGACAGCTGTGAAACAATAAAAGGAAAGATGAAAAAATTCCAATTTTAACAAAAATACTCTACGAGAGGTTAACAAATAATTATAGAATGGTTAAGCAGTTTTAAACTTTTTTATTTCTTTCCAAACGAAATATACTTTCTTTCTTTAGCTACAACTCACACATTAACAAAATCAAAACTCATCAAGGCTCTAAAAGTTGCAGAATAGAGCGGCAAAGACAGATCATGAATGTAAAGAATGAAGATGGTCAGTTAGCAATAACTTATAACTTCTTGGCTGGAAATTATTTGAAAAACTCAGAGCAGAAATGAAAGCTAGGATGAAATGAACAGTCAATTACCAAGCTCATAGAAGACTGTGTGAAATAATTCAAAACGTCAATAATGTAACTGATTATAATCCAAGAGGTTTTTCAACGCAAAAAAAGAATTCGCAATTCCTTTTAGAAATTTCAAATGCTCTTGCACAAAAGGCTACACTAGACGTGTAATTTATTATTTCCACAGAAAACATAAAGACAAACTTTTTCTGGAATAGTAAAATCAATAGATTAGGACAACAATGCAATCATCTACTTACAATTGCTCATCACCATATTTTTCGACTTCTACAGCAGCGCAAATCACCACAATCAATGCTGGAAAACCTGTAAGACACGAAGTTCTGTTTGTCATTCGAACCACATTAATTTTGATGATTGATTTTTTATCTTGCAAATAAGAAATGGATCTTCTCATAATATTTAGGGGTGCTTATGGTTTTTTGAAGACGTGAATGGAAGAGAGTTTGGTTTTTTGATTTTTACCTTTTTCTTCAAACAAATCTGGCAAAAAGTGGTTATATCATTTTACTATTAATGTAACTCATTCTACTAATAATATATATACAAACAACGCGCAAAAGAAAGTTCCTCACTAAACTATGGCTAAATAAATTAATCCAATTGATACTTAAGCACAGCACTAACTAAGCTTATGGTAATCTGATAAAGGCCATCTTCCCATAGTATTTTGCAAGTTAGCTACCACAAGTCACATTAGTGCTTGTTTTTCACATGGAATCGATTTCGTTAGAATTTATGATAATTTATATCCAAAAGTTTGGTTGTGCTAGGTAAAATATTTTTGTTTTGACTTATTGAAAAACAATGAATATAAAAATAAAAAAAGTATCATCATCTCAAATTTACATAACATGACCAAACTCGACGACTGTCGGCGCAACTGCCCCTTGCCAATGAAAGCACGAAATTGGAAAAAATGCTCAAAATACAAACCCCATCCAACAACACAACACTTCAACATGAACTTAGAATAGTATCTTGGCATCACTTTCACAAACGACAAATACATGTTATAAGCTTGGATCGATGTCCAAAAGAACATGGATAACACAAAGTAGTGCATTGCAATGGCCGCTGTCCGACATAGGGCCATCGAGGACGTCCTTGATCTTTCTGCACCCGCAAGAAACACAACTAGCGTCAGAGTCAAAGCCAAACAGAAGTTCAAAAGGATTTGCGTAGGAATCTTGGTTCGAAGATCTCTATTTAATTTGATAAGGTGTAAAAAAAAGATATGACAATGGAAATTTTACAACCTTACATTGCAAAAACCACAAGTCTCTGAAAAATACTATACAATAAAAAGAAAAATTTAGATCACTTTAGCTTCGCTCTGTACACAATGTACAGCTCATGACTGAGTAGATGGTGTAAATAGTCTCGTAAGACTCTTCTAAAGCACTGAAAGTCGATATTGATCATTAAAATAACTGAAAACTGAAAACTGAAGAACGACTTCCTTTTTCGTAGACTGAAACACATTAAAGCAATAAAAATGTAAATGCATTTATATTTTTTCGCTGCCATTTGATGGCTTAGATTCAAATGTAGTACTGGTATGGGAATTATGCTGAATATATATCAGAATTACAAAACTGTGCAACGAATACTTACTTGAATATTAGTACAGTAGTCATAGTCAAAATGAGACCGACCAATGAAATAGCACAGCCAACATAGCTGATTATACTTAGCGCCTGGTCGTGGGTTGGATTTCTGTCGTGGATATAAACATCCTAAAACCAATACAATTATACAATTAAGTTTGAAAATTTGTAGTCCAGGCATTTAATACATAAAAGATCTTTTATCTTTTATGTAATTATACAATTATATAATTTTATGTAAGAATGAACGTAAAAGAAAGCCATAGCGCAATGATCAATCAAAAAGCGAGAGTAATCGTGAACATTTATAAATAAGAAAATTTATTTACCATTAATATTGCAAAGTTGGTCAGATGTGTACAATGACACCTAACAATGCCATTCTTTATTCCTTGAAAAGAACATCCATCCGGTGCCCAGTCTCCAGTGCCGTTATTTGCAGTAAAGTTCCAAAACACGCAAGCTGTTGAGTCATCAACAGCTGCTCTCAATGGCTTATACGTTGTGACCACCGGCTCTGATAAATCCTTCAGTTTTTGTCCTTTCACTGAGCCTGATATTACGTAACTGTTATTTTCACGAACAGTGTTAGTTGTCATGTTTACTAAAGCTTCTACAAAACTTGCAAAGAACAAAGTAGAGCGATATATTGCAAAGGAAATTCGTTGGTTTTGATTTTTTGATTCAATATCCAGGTTTTTAAACAATGACTGAGGCAACGTGATCGAGACTTGTGAAGAATTTTGTTTTACATCCAAATCGTCATTATAGACTTCAAAATCTTGCCTCACAATTTCATTGATGGAAGCAGCTCCTGCTCCTTCAAATTCGCGGGGGTTGAAGTCCTTTGCAAAAACAGCAATGTTTGTTTCATTTTGCCGATAATCAGTTCCATAATCAAGAGGAATGTTGTCCAAAAATGTTTCAAGGACTCTGACAATCCTGAAGGCATGAAGAATAGCGAGTGTATCTGCATGCTCTCAACAAGTTCAAACATGAGATCATGGAATGCATACGATAAAAATTTTATATACAAGGCAACACACCTGGCAGAAACGTTGCTTTTCTGTTGTCCCTGCTTCAGAACATTGTATGCAGTATTTAGGAGATTATCAATAATCTTAACAAGATTTGGTCCAGTCTAAAAAAATTCAACAAAGGAAAACAATTTAATCAACGAATACGTCTGGTTTCTCAGCTTAATTTTTTTAGAGGCGAGTTTCACTCTCAGTTGGTTTATGTTTCATTTTGTGATTGTGCAAGTTAAGCTACAAGGCCAAATAAAGAGTTAAAATACTTGGGAAATGTTGACAATGTCAAGAAAATTTTGAGAATGTTGGAACTAACAATTCTTTGTGCCAAGATTGTAGAATTTGACTGTAGAATGGTTGAGTGATTAATAATCATCCTTTGAGATCTATTCAATGACTGTGATGGGCTCATTGCAGTACAGTTTATCTGTAATTGCACTGCAAAAATGTGCAATTGTGCAAGAAGTATAATTGCACTGCAAATACTGTAACGGGATTGGCTGAAAAGCTAAGAATGCAAACAAGCTTTTTTTCAATTAAAAAAAACATAGCGGCAATTTTAAGAAAGCAATGATTTCCAGTTGAGTTTTAACTAATGTTTTACTAAATAATGTTTATTAAGGAATGATTATAAAAGTTAAATAACGCAATGAGGCTTTTTTGAATCAATAGAGAGTTCTAATTGATAGAAACATCTTAAAGTTAATTATTAGCAAGTGATAGTTTGTGCAACTACTGTAAAACATGCACTCGTAAGTATTTTTTTATTGAAACTTTTAATTTAAGTTGCTCTTGTCTGTGATACTTAGGCCATAATTGCCATTTACCACACCACTACCTAAGTATTTAAGTTAATACTACTTAAGTAATTAAGTTTGTTACTACAACTAGGTCTTTATCTTCTAGTTTCATCATTTCTATCAAATGATGCAACTCATTTGCAATTGCTGAGCATTTCGGTTGGGATGAAAGACAATTCACTCTCTTTCCTGTTATCGCTAACTAAATCTACCTATTATTTTACCTTTTTTAAGTCTTCAGTCTGTCTTACAATCCCTTCCAAGATTAGTGTGCATAAAAGGATATCATTAACGGTAAATTTGGTGACAGTTTTCTGAGTTATGTTCTTTAACTCTTCGGTGGCTTTCTGTTCCGATACAATTCCACTTTGAAATAACTAAAAATAGCGATAAAAACTTACGCATGACACAAGTTTGTTAAAAAACATTTATCTCTAGCTTACTATCCTCTTTTCATTAACTACATTTGGAAGAAAAAGGCAAATCCCTGTCAAAAATTGAACTTAAATACACAACTACTTTCACAAGTCAGCCCAGATTTGCTTGCTAACGATTTGAGGTTGTTCATGGATGTTGTTAGGAGTTCATTAGAATGAAATCGTATTAAACAATTTCATAATTTTTAATGCCATGTCCAGAAAATAAAGTTAGCAGCCCAGTTAAGAAATAATTTTAATATAAGTTTTAAATTTTTTTATTCAACCTTTCGCAAACTGTGCACTTTTCTTCGACAACAAGCCACCAAAAATTAGGAAAAGGAGACAGACACATGCAAAATAATCTTTTCGCGGACAAAAAACGTGTATTTTACGTACGCATCAAAGCCATTCAACTTATTTTATTATTTCAAAGGCAGTATCAATATTAGTTCTAAATTTTTTTTAAATACGAGGCTTTTTGAATTTTGTTTGAACGCCGTGTGTCAGAGATAACGAAAATACAAAGTTATAGATTAGTCTTTAAAAAAGAAAACAAATTAAAGTTGATTTTGCAAATAGAAAAATAATGCAACAATCATGTACATGGTACTGATACTTTTAATCACGTCCACCTCTGTCCGACACATTATCGTAGTATTTCAGATGTATGACATGTTGTGACATATATGGAACATGATGCGTTCTCTGATTAGCTAATACCTTGCCTGGATTAGGCCATCCAAACATGGAAGTTGAAATTGCTGTTGCTAGAATTTTGAGCATGCCAGCGCATGCTGAAAAAAAAGGCGATTTTTTGCTTAAATTAATTTTGAGAGCATTTCTGGCAGAGCAAAATGTGAACTTAAGTCAATAATAATGAATTTTCTAAACTTTTAAAATTGTAGTGTTTTTAAATTCGTTGTTTAGCTACTACACTTCAGAGCTTCGTTTCGCTTGGGGGAATTTACTTTTCATATTTCTAATTATTTATATAAAGCTTCCAACTCTACTCTCTTCTTTTTTAAAACAAAAAAAATTCTTATGGCTTTAAGTGTTTCAATGGCCTTAACCAAACACTCGGTATTGTTGCTTGAGTTAAGAAGAGCGGTGCACAATACTCGCCTTCAACATGTCGTTCGCTCGCGAAAATTTAAATTAACCTTATAGCTACAATGTAATAATTCGATACCTGATACAATTTTGAAAGGGTTTCTGTTGTAGGTGGATCTTCAACTATAGTGTAATCACACTCTCTTGTGTACGGTTCTTCCCAAATCGGATTCTTGCACGTACTATCCTGGCATGAGCAATTTCGACTTGCGTTTTGCCTAGGGCCATTGGGTTGTAAGTGGAGAGGACAAGTAAAAGTCTGCGAATTTTTTGCATCCTCAATCGTCCAAAGAAATAATCCTTGAGCAATTTCCTCACCCGTCCTATCATTTGGACACTGTCCTATATTTATATGGATAAAACGATTGCATATTTGTTTGTCTGTGTGAACAAAAAGAAACTTGCAACATGCAGCGGGGCTTTAAAAATAAAAAGTTTATGGATGTAGCTGTGTTGAGTTTTTGAAAACTGTCAAGGTTAGTGGATGTGACGGCAGTTGAAAACAGCAAGTACTTTTTATTCATAAAAATCGTTTTGATACCAACTTGGGCAAACTAATTTAAGAGTTATAGAGGAAGATACTACAAGTAATTGGAAAAATACCATTGGTTGTAGGCTGCCCCGGGCTATTCCTTCTAATGAGCGAATAAGACACTGCCTGTAGAGCTAAGACGTCGCCTATCACACGTTCAGTCGGGCTACTCTAGAACAGTGTTTGGATATATTTGCGTGTTATAATCGTTGCTAATTGGTACAACAAAATTTACGGCAATGCAATCTTACATGTGGCAATATATTATGCATCCAGAACTTCATGTCAGTCAAGCATCACTAGTATAATCTTTCGAAAATACATGAAAATCCGAACTTTAAACTCGGCTTATCTTGGGCAGCCAGAGTTGTTATTATCATGAATAATGTAGTGATAATGAATTACAAATAAAACAACATAGCATACCATATGTGTTGATGTCGAATTCACCAAAAGCACCTGGCAAGCCAGATGGAGTCTTGAGGGAAGCAATTTTAATGTCGTAATCCGTGCCAGGTTCAAGAATATCAAGTATAGAGTAATTGCGGGAAGATAATATCTGGTATTGATAAGGAACATTGCTACCACGTGGCTTGTATAATACTGTCGTGTTGATGTTGTTATTTTGGGTGAAGTTAACCTCCAGTTTTGTAGATCTTTGAGTAATTTCTATTTTTCTTGGTGGAGGTGGACCAAATTCAACATTTCTGACGATAGACGGAACTAAATTTTGCGAAAAGAATATGAGTGAACTCTTTTCTCGTAATTTCAAGTACAAAAGTAGGTAAAATATCCGACTTTTAAACCAGTTAAATAAAGATCACACTGCTCTGTTTATAAGCCTACTGGTAATAAAAAGAGGCAACAATTTTGACCAATGCATGCAATTACGTAACCTATCACATGAGCTTAATATGTGTTTGCTAGATATGCACTTTTTCATTACTTTCTCAACAAAATTCCAGCTGGAATTAACTAATAAGTGAACACTTGCTGAGAGCATGGCAACAAAACTCATTGAACTAGCACAGGATTTCTTTAATTACTCTGTGCCAAATGCTGGTAACAAATAAATAAAAATTGTTTGTCGCGTTTTTGTTTAGTGTGTTTGAACTATGATCTATTATATCAACAGTAGTGTTAATAACAAAACAACTACCCGTTAAATCCATTATCATTTAATTTTTTAAAAAGGGATCAATTTCATCCCTCCCCTGTAAACTGCAGAGGGTTAAATGTCCACGCTTATAGCAACTGTCCACTCGTACAATCGATGAATGAACCTAGCCTTTGAAAACAATTATAAGTCAACAAACATACCCTAACACTATCATTGGTGAACCATTGCTGGTCTTGGCAGCTGATGTTAATTAGAGGCCATTGAAAACTATATCCTATGACATTCAAATCGTTTATAGCCACATTACAAACTCCTCCTCTGGCTGTCATTGATAGACACACACGTTGGTGCATGGGCATTATGGGACATTTTGGCAAATGTAGGTGACAAAGAACAAGAACTGTAGCATTAAAACATCCATTGTAGAAAATTGTAAGATTACGCGGTACTCCTGGTCGACGCAATGCGCTTAAAAATGTGGAAAAGCTACTCAATTTGTACACAGCCTCATCTGTAGAATTGTGTCCAAAATAGTTGGAGAAGGGATTAATTGTTCTTGAGAAATACGTCCTGTTTGTTTGCTGCACATCCTCATCTCTTGTAGTCTCGGATACTATTGAGCAAATAGGAGTAAATGGAGTAGTTATGCAACTTTCGTTTACCCTTGTTGCTCTTCGACGTCGCTGGGGAACTATGAACGGAGTCGCCGACGGTGTAACTATTATAAAAGACCAATGATAGCACATACGTAAAGTCAGCCAAGAAGAAAATACTATAATGATGAACAAATGGGAGGAAATTCATTTTTATTTGATATTCTCCTTCACGCAAATTTGTTTGTCACCTTCTTTGTTATGTTCAAAATAACGAAGAATGAATAAAAGAACTCTATTCTTAAATTATTCATTGATAAAAATAACATTAACGACGACCTGTGCATAAATGGAGGTGCTTGATTTAAGCTTTTTTTCGAAAATTATAACAAATATGTCTTCTACATGTACCATAAAAAAATAACGTTTTAAGTTGATGAATGGATTTGATCCATGTTAAACAAACCTTTTGTTCCGTACGAGTTACATAATACACTTCTTTGAAAGTGATGGCATTTATGATCATAAAAAATTATCTTTACATACCTGGGACAACTTCAACTTCTTTTGTAAGATCTGAAATGAAAAGTTTCAAACAGTTTAAAACATGCAAGTTCGTTGAATTTTTAATAAGTTGTACGAAGTTAAACATAGCGTATTTTCAACATCATGATTACGAGTACAGCTAAAACGTTAAAAATCGTTATGAATCTGAAACATCTCGATCAAACTTGTTGCGTCATCATTTTAATAAAAGATACATTTGATATGATTGACTGCAGCCTTAAATGACATTTTTCGACGAAGACAGACATAACCAAGCTTCTTTTCATGTTCATACTTACTATAGCAAAATGTATCGTTAAAATTTTCGCATTTCATTTCCGAAGGCCAGTAGAATTTCGAGTGGCTAATAGCGAACGTGCAACTTCTGTACACCTGTTTGCATGTAGCACGACATGGCTTCTGACCTCTGTACGTAACTGGATCGTAGCGGGCAAAAGTACTGAACATAAAAAGCTTCAATTCACTTGAACAAAATGTGTTCACAAGTGGATAAAATGGAAAAATCTTTCTCTAGCTTGTTCAAAGGTTCTGTCTCCATACATGTTTGGAAGCAAAGCTTTTCTGTAGTAGTTATAGCAAGGATCAAAGAAACGTGGCATATCAACAACACCAGCATCTAAAACAAAAGCAATTTTAATACTTTCATCGGTGTTTGAAAACTTAACGCTGCTATAAGTTAGTATTTGAAATACTGGGCAGGACACGATGTAAATGGGAATATTTATTAGCTATAGACGTCAAAATTTTATATACGGTATATCATAATGTTATGATACTTTGACGATTGTCAATTGCATACAAATTATGTAAATTTATATACGTAGACTGCAAATTAAACTTATTACTAAGCAATTAACAATTGTGGGACAGTAAGAGATCAACTAGCTTACGTAATAAATATTTTTTATCTAATCCGATGCTGGACGATAAAAATGTTCTTTACCAAGTGTCCTCTGTGTCAATGTAAGAAAAGGTCCAGGAATACTTGCCACACCATCTAATGTTGCTACTTTCAATTCATACACAACGCTGCTCGTTAATTTCTCAATGACCAACTGTCTACCATTATTACTTTGAAGAAACAAAAAATTTTCGTTTGATGAATTTTGTCGATACAACACGCAGACTGCAACATTCCGAGAAAGAATTGGAGGTGGCGAGTAGCTGACAGTTAAAGCGTTGGAGGACGTCGAGGATATCATGGGATTATTTGGTGGTGGAGCAGGATAGTTTGCAAAACGTGGTATTGTGTAGGCTATAGTAAATGCAAAGTAAACGTTAATCGCAAGCAATAAGCGGTCTCTTCCATCTTATAGCCTAAAAAAGAGTATACAAGCATCTAAAGAATAAAAAAGTGCATGAAAGTATCTCAGTACAAGTTCTAAAGAACCTAGGAGTCATGCCAACTTTAGACGTGGAAAGTTGTACGCTTACCAAATAAAAATTGGTTTGGAGAGTTCGAAAAACTTTAGGAAAACGTCACTGAAGTGTGTTAGAAAAACATCACCGAGCAACATTTTCAAATAACGTTTGGTGGAAACAGTTAGATAGACTTCCAATGCTTTATCTTTCAGTAAAATTGTGACAAACAACAAACTCTTTAAAATGCAAATTGTGTTTACTGAGAAGCATTTTCAAATAGCTTTCGCACCTCAATGACACAGCTAAAGAGAATCGATCGAGATAACAGGGTTAGATAACTAAGTTTTGGAAATTTTTGCTTATGCACAAACGCGAGCTCTTAGCGTTCACAACGCCAGCTATTTTGAATTCTTGCTTTTCAATTTCCTTTATGCCTCACAATTATGCATAAATATAAGCTTAAATTAATTCAAAAATAACTAGTTGACAAGGTTTAATATAATTTGGATTTAAAAAGTCAAAAGGCAAAATAATTCGTCATTTGAATGCCTAGCGTTCGCGCTGCCTGAGCAAATTTTACAAAAATTTGTTAGCCTGAATAAAAATGCCGTATTCTTAATCTAGGTTTTACAATTGCTTTTGGGTTAAAGCTACTTGGCAGAAATCAACATAAATTATGACGTTACATGTACACTCTGGACCAATGAAACAGTACGAGAAATGAGCATTTTGAAACTTGTATATGTTGCTTGTTGCTTATTTTATCCACACAATCATAATACTTACTTTGTATCGAAGTACTGTTGACAGAAAACCAATTCTCATCACTACAATTTACTTGCGGATATAAGAGGTAACGTGGTTCCATAGTTTGTCGGATGAAAGGAAGGCCGCGAAGAGCAAGCTCTCATAAATCTCTGACAGTAACTGACAGAGAGAGTTAATCGTGGGCAAGCTGGTAAATGAAGATGACATAATAAAACTGTCATGGCGTCAAAGCAAGCTCGGTTAAATTCTCTCAAAGTGCTAAGCAATGGCAAATATCGACTTAATTCAAAGATGGCCTCTTCAGTCGACGAGTGGTTGAAATAATTTAAAGGTTTGGTTGCGGATGTTGATTTGAAAATGGCAACTCTTCTGCGATCATTAAAGACGGCCATGATATCAAGGCACATTTTCGTTGTGGTGGGCTTGCATTGTTCAGCGGATCGCTTTTCCTGAGTGCAGATTCAATGTTTTCAACTGGGAAGTAAAATGATGTCATCAATAATGTTTGTTTTCTAACAACTCCAAGGTGCAAATTTTTTCCAAAAATATCTTTTGCAAGATCACAAAATCACATTTCATACAAGGGTTCTGAATTTGAAATTATATAACAGCACTGTATCTCAAACAATTTAAAAAATTTGTCAAGGGAAAAATACTAGAATATGGCACTGTTGGTCAAAATAAAATAGTAGGATCCAAGAATATTTTGAATTGACAAAAGAAAAATATTTGAGTCATAAATTGATTACTAATTTTTCCAGAATATTCTAGATTACCAGAAAACATGATACGAAATTTGCTCATGATATTTCAAATTAGCAGCGCTTAAATTTAATAGAAAATCCCGACATTTTATATACAGTTGACTATTGGAAAAGATCTTGTGTGTTTCTTGAAACAGACAAGGAATAAACTATACCGTAAAGTTAAGCCCTATAACTTTTCTGTCGATGACTATTAGTCGTTCTCACTGAATCTAGTATTATATTTTAACGGTTTTGGTGTATTTTGTATAAGAAACATAAAGTATCACAATTAACATATGATTCATGTTTCCATGTTTCATCACTTTCACTATATGTTTGGAAAAACGAAAGTCATGAGGCGCTAAATTTAAAAAATTTACTCATTCGTTATTATATTCATTCGTTGGATTGAGTGTATTAACTTCCTGAAAACATTTGCTTCACAGAAGACAGAAAGAAGAAATATTCTCATCCCGCATGGAATTTGTTTTTGTAAGATGAGAGTAACAACACAAGTCGATTTTAAGGAGGCTATATCAGGTCAGGAAATAACTTGTATTTCTAGTACTTGATAGGACGAAAATTTTATCTTCATAAGAACATATGTATTGAAGATATAACTTTCACTTTATCGAATCAAACTATTATAACAATTCTTCTTAAAGCTGCTCTACAAATTCAGGATGCTGCACAGGTGTATATATCTTGACGATATAGTTTGAGCAAATAATCGAAAAACGTTTAAAAGTAGAACTGCGTTTTCTCCTTTTACGACAATTCCAGGAGTCACATACTTCCACGTCCAAAAGCTCACGAAGATAAAATTTTCGACGTATCAAATATATTTGAAATCTTTTTTAAATCGATTTTCTTATCTGAAGCTATTTCTCTGACCTGGTGTAGGCACTTGAAACTTCTGCTGCGATTACATTGGTTATAAGCAAATTTAAAAGACATACTTCTACGATTTCTTACTGCAGACGTCGAATCTAAATCAAGAAAAATCAATGAGACAGTGCTTAACACTAAGAATAGTCAAAGCTCCATGTGCAATCATTATTGGACTTACTAAAGCAGCTTCTCTCTGTAAATTGACTGCACCTCCACTCACGAGGCCACAAAAAGTTCAAGCGCCTCCTGGCATAAGAACACTCTCGAAAGACTTTTTCACAGCTCGAGCGACATGCTGGTCTCTTTCCCAAATTGTACATGGGCACCACAACCGAGCAGAGGAAGGGCACTAAATATTCGCTGCACAATGTGTATCTCAGGATAAAAGGATAAAGTCTTTGTCTAATAGCATTTAGGTTTCTGTCGTTAAATCTATTTGGTAATAGATACTGACGGTAATATTCGTGCACGTATAAACTGGATGTAAGTTGGTACAAATTGTGATCCAGAACATCTGAAAATGATTAAAATCATTATAAATACAATGCACAATAAATATCAACCAAAAATGAAGGCTAATGTACATGTCAAGTGAAGAAAATTCAAGTTGCAAACAACAAAGGTCATAAACGTGCTTTATACGAAGTATTTTTTAACTAGTTGTGGAGTCACATTTGACAGATATTTACACTAAAACAACACAAGTGCATACATACAAACTACTCTTTGAAAATATCCTAGTGCTCCAGTTTCAGTATTGACATACGCTAAAAACACATCGTGATTGTTACGCAAGATCAGTGATAAAGGGGAAGTTGGTGCAGTTGTTGTTCTGTGCAGATGTTGAGCGTAAGTCGCTGCAGTTTCAATTGGCTTATAAAAATTACAGCGTTTGCACTCCTTGCAAACGATGACTAACCAATTAAAGATACTCTCATTCTTCCTGTTGTTTCGTAATGTGCATTCAAAGGTGGGGCAATTTTTCTTGGCGATTTTGGCGATCGTAGATACCTAAAGTAAATGTAAGTATAAGTTGTAGTAATGTGGTCAAGTTTTCAAAAATTTTCAAACATTTTTGTGGCAAAAGCTTTGTTATTGGAAAATACACTTAAAATAATTAGTTGTGTATTCTTGCAACTCGAATTTTTCTGAACTCATTCAAATTTAACTGTATTACTAAAATCATACTTCCCTATAAATATTTGGTGAAACAAGGCATTTTTTCTGCTATAAATACTTTATAAAACAAAACTACATTTTTGTAATTTTGGATTATTTTGAAATGTTGCACTTCCTTAGCTACTTTTTTATGTTGCAAAGTTTCCCTTGACAATATTGCATGCTTGTAAAAATAATCATGAACACTTGGTACAGGAACTCTTGCCTTTTTGAATTTTTATTTTCAACTCTGATGTGAAACTTAATTTCTACTTACTAATAGTCGAAGTAACATTTCGTTTAATGAATCACAATTCACTTGAAAGGTGGCCATTTAACAGTATAAAAATAGCGTTGTTCAATCATCGTTAGGCAAATTGCAAAATGAAATTGACTTCAAAATAATTCAAGCAGTGCTTTGCGTACACGATAACTTTGCTGGCAACTGGCAAGTACAGGCGACATAATATGTCAGCGAGGTTCATAGCAATGATCGTAATTTTGCTTTAAATAAAATTATCTTTGTTAATTTGAAGTAAACTAAAAACTTGTTATGCTTTATTCAATGTATACAGCTTGTTTAAGGAGCTAACAAAAATTGCAAAGTTCTGTCCACTAATTAAAATATGGAATCGAGCATTTTTTTTGAAACAAGAACAAATGTGCTGCTCTCGACAAACTGGCAGGATTTATTCAAAAACAACTATGTAAGATATAAATATAATGATTTCCTAAAATTTATATCATAATGAGGACTAAATTAAAAATTTATGATAAATTTATGTTACACAAAAATTTTAAGAAAAATAAATAAAAATACCCTTTATGACAAGTTGAATTTAGAAAACGTAAGAAAAGTGTCAATAATTTGCAATTGTTCAACACTAAACATTAGGTTAGTTGCATAACTATATACTTACGATAAAACAGGTTTAATTTTACAATTAGAATTCTTCCACTATATTTAAATATTTAATTAATTTATTAATAAAATCTTAAAATTCTTGAACAATCAATCTCAATGGTTGTAAAAATATAGACTTTAATACAAAATAACTTAAATTAAAACAAAAAGAATTTCAAATCAGGAATATCATGTATTTAGAAGGTTCAAATTAGAAAAGTACAAAATTTCTCATTTTTTGGTTGAAAAAATATAATTAGAGTTTTGTATAGTAAAATTTTAATAGAATTTTTTGTATATTTTCAAACTTTAACAGTAATTTGGTCTTCAAGGCTACCAAAAGATTTTGACTATCTAACAGAACATGAAAAATCATATTATGATAAAAGTAATATTTTCAATGTAAGATTTTTTACAAAGATCAAAAAATATGGTATTCCTGATTTTTCTTATAAAGATTTATGTAGATAACGATGATATCATATTTAAAGTTATCAAGAAATCTGATAATTAAATTGACAGAAATTGAAACTAAATCTTATAAAAAGTTAGGAATGAAGATCAAAGATGTGGTATATTAAAGAACATTGTATAAAGAACAAGCTTAAAATAAAATTTAAGAAAATAATGAATTGAAGCTAAAATATTTGAAAAAAATTTTAAAACATTGATAAATTATTAGGATTTAAGATAAACTTAAACATATAAAACTATTAGATAAACATCAACTTAGTTGTTTAATAAAAATGGTGTATAGATGATTATGGTTGAATTAATATAGTATAACTTCTGTTTATATGATAAATTTAAATTAGATAATTAAAATACTTTATGTTATTTGATTAAACACTGTTAGGCCGGGTTAAGTACCTGTGGCACTGCTTCAATCATCATTGTAATTAATACACCATAGCGAATAAGATTCAAAATCCTGAAACAATTATTAAAAACACTTTTAACAAAAATTATATAACACTCGCTTGACAGACAAATTAAAAAAAACATATAGAACCCATATTTTGTAAAACATTGTATTATTATACATGCGCTGATGAAATGTGCTATCTACATTAAACAACCATTGTTAAGAACATGCACTAAGACACGCGCTGCTACTGATATTTTAATAACACTTGATTATTAACACTTGATTATTAAAGACGGTTTTTAAGAGCATTTCTTAAGCCTCTGTTCTCGAATATTCTTCGAATATTCTTCGAATCAATGGGAGGACACCAATTTTCACTTCGTGAAAATTTTCCCATCGTCGCCTAGAATTTGATGGGGCTCCATCCCTGCTCGAGCACTTTGTGCTCTGCGCTGCCGAGCCCCATCAAAACCAATGCTTTATTAACACTTGATTATTAACACTTGATTATTAACACTTGATTATTAAAGACGGTTTTGAAGAGCATTTTAAGCCTTCTTATTCTCGAATATTCTTCGAATATTCTTCGAATCCAATGGGAGGCGACCCCAATTTTTCACTTCGTGAAAAATTTTCCCATCGTCGCCTAGAATTTGATGGGGCTCCATCCCCTGCTCGAGCACTTTGTGCTCTGCGCTGCCGAGCCCCATCAAAACCAATGCTTTATTAACACTTGATTATTAACACTTGATTATTAACAATTAATTCTTAAAGACGGTTTTTTAAAGAGCATTTTTTAAGCCTCTGTTATTCTCGAATATTCTTCGAATATTCATCGAATCTACGGGGTCGTTCCGAATTTTCACTTCGTGAAAATTTTCCCCGCCGTCACTCAGAATTCTCGAGGGCTCCATTCCCCTGCTCGAGCATTTCATGCTCTGCGCTGCCGAGCCCTCTCCGAACCGATGCTTTCTTAACATTTGTTTGTAAAGACCGTTTTTAAAACATATAGATTCCATATTTTTAAACTATAGATTATAACCTCGAGATTTTTACCCACTGGTGTAGTAGTAATACACATGGGGGATTCGAATACATAAAAAGTAAACTTTTTATGGATTCGTACCCCCATGTGTATTACTACTCTCTGTTTATAAGCCTACTGGTAATAAAAAGAGGCAACAATTTTGACCAATGCATGCAATTACGTAACCTATCACATGAGCTTAATATGTGTTTGCTAGATATGCACTTTTTCATTACTTTCTCAACAAAATTCCAGCTGGAATTAACTAATAAGTGAACACTTGCTGAGAGCATGGCAACAAAACTCATTGAACTAGCACAGGATTTCTTTAATTACTCTGTGCCAAATGCTGGTAACAAATAAATAAAAAATTGTTTGTCGCGTTTTTTGTTTAGTGTGTTTGAACTATGATCTATTATATCAACAGTAGTGTTAATAACAAAACAACTACCCGTTAAATCCATTATCATTTAATTTTTTAAAAAGGGATCAATTTCATCCCTCCCCTGTAAACTGCAGAGGGTTAAATGTCCACGCTTATAGCAACTGTCCACTCGTACAATCGATGAATGAACCTAGCCTTTTGAAAAACAATTATAAGTCAACAAACATACCCCTAACACTATCATTGGTGAACCATTGCTGGTCTTGGCAGCTGATGTTAATTAGAGGCCATTGAAAACTATATCCTATGACATTCAAATCGTTTATAGCCACATTACAAACTCCTCCTCTGGCTGTCATTGATAGACACACACGTTGGTGCATGGGCATTATGGGACATTTTGGCAAATGTAGGTGACAAAGAACAAGAACTGTAGCATTAAAACATCCATTGTAGAAAATTGTAAGATTACGCGGTACTCCTGGTCGACGCAATGCGCTTAAAATGTGGAAAAGCTACTCAATTTGTACACAGCCTCATCTGTAGAATTGTGTCCAAAATAGTTGGAGAAGGGATTAATTGTTCTTGAGAAATACGTCCTGTTTGTTTGCTGCACATCCTCATCTCTTGTAGTCTCGGATACTATTGAGCAAATAGGAGTAAATGGAGTAGTTATGCAACTTTCGTTTACCCTTGTTGCTCTTCGACGTCGCTGGGGAACTATGAACGGAGTCGTCGACGGTGTAACTATTATAAAAGACCAATGATAGCACATACGTAAAGTCAGCCAAGAAGAAAATACTATAATGATGAACAAATGGGAGGAAATTCATTTTTATTTGATATTCTCCTTCACGCAAATTTGTTTGTCACCTTCTTTGTTATGTTCAAAATATTTCAAATATTTCAAATATTTCAAATATTTCAAATATTTCAAATATTGTTATGTTCAAAATAATGTTAAATTATTCATTGATAAAAATAACATTAACGACGACCTGTGCATAAATGGAGGTGCTTGATTTAAGCTTTTTTTCGAAAATTATAACAAATATGTCTTCTACATGTACCATAAAAAAATAACGTTTTAAGTTGATGAATGGATTTGATCCATGTTAAACAAACCTTTTGTTCCGTACGAGTTACATAATACACTTCTTTGAAAGTGATGGCATTTATGATCATAAAAAATTATCTTTACATACCTGGGACAACTTCAACTTCTTTTGTAAGATCTGAAATGAAAAAGTTTCAAACAGTTTAAAACATGCAAGTTCGTTGAATTTTTAATAAGTTGTACGAAGTTAAACATAGCGTATTTTCAACATCATGATTACGAGTACAGCTAAAACGTTAAAAAAATCGTTATGAATCTGAAACATCTCGATCAAACTTGTTGCGTCATCATTTTAATAAAAGATACATTTGATATGATTGACTGCAGCCTTAAATGACATTTTTCGACGAAGACAGACATAACCAAGCTTCTTTTCATGTTCATACTTACTATAGCAAAATGTATCGTTAAAATTTTCGCATTTCATTTCCGAAGGCCAGTAGAATTTCGAGTGGCTAATAGCGAACGTGCAACTTCTGTACACCTGTTTGCATGTAGCACGACATGGCTTCTGACCTCTGTACGTAACTGGATCGTAGCGGGGCAAAAGTACTGAACATAAAAAAGCTTCCAATTCACTTGAACAAAATGTGTTCACAAGTGGATAAAATGGAAAAAATCTTTCTCTAGCTTGTTCAAAGGTTCTGTCTCCATACATGTTTGGAAGCAAAGCTTTTCTGTAGTAGTTATAGCAAGGATCAAAGAAACGTGGCATATCAACAACACCAGCATCTAAAACAAAAAGCAATTTTAATACTTTCATCGGTGTTTGAAAAACTTAACGCTGCTATAAGTTAGTATTTGAAATACTGGGCAGGACACGATGTAAATGGGAATATTTATTAGCTATAGACGTCAAAATTTTATATACGGTATATCATAATGTTATGATACTTTGACGATTGTCAATTGCATACAAATTATGTAAATTTATATACGTAGACTGCAAATTAAACTTATTACTAAGCAATTAACAATTGTGGGACAGTAAGAGATCAACTAGCTTACGTAATAAATATTTTTTATCTAATCCGATGCTGGACGATAAAAATGTTCTTTACCAAGTGTCCTCTGTGTCAATGTAAGAAAAGGTCCAGGAATACTTGCCACACCATCTAATGTTGCTACTTTCAATTCATACACAACGCTGCTCGTTAATTTCTCAATGACCAACTGTCTACCATTATTACTTTGAAGAAACAAAAAATTTTCGTTTGATGAATTTTGTCGATACAACACGCAGACTGCAACATTCCGAGAAAGAATTGGAGGTGGCGAGTAGCTGACGGTTAAAGCGTTGGAGGACGTCGAGGATATCATGGGATTATTTGGTGGTGGAGCAGGATAGTTTGCAAAACGTGGTATTGTGTAGGCTATAGTAAATGCAAAGTAAACGTTAATCGCAAGCAATAAGCGGTCTCTTCCATCTTATAGCCTAAAAAAGAGTATACAAGCATCTAAAGAATAAAAAAGTGCATGAAAGTATCTCAGTACAAGTTCTAAAGAACCTAGGAGTCATGCCAACTTTAGACGTGGAAAGTTGTACGCTTACCAAATAAAAATTGGTTTGGAGAGTTCGAAAAACTTTAGGAAAACGTCACTGAAGTGTGTTAGAAAAACATCACCGAGCAACATTTTCAAATAACGTTTGGTGGAAACAGTTAGATAGACTTCCAATGCTTTATCTTTCAGTAAAATTGTGACAAACAACAAACTCTTTTAAAATGCAAATTGTGTTTACTGAGAAGCATTTTCAAATAGCTTTCGCACCTCAATGACACAGCTAAAGAGAATCGATCGAGATAACAGGGTTAGATAACTAAGTTTTGGAAATTTTTGCTTATGCACAAACGCGAGCTCTTAGCGTTCACAACGCCAGCTATTTTGAATTCTTGCTTTTCAATTTCCTTTATGCCTCACAATTATGCATAAATATAAGCTTAAATTAATTCAAAAATAACTAGTTGACAAGGTTTAATATAATTTGGATTTAAAAAGTCAAAAAGGCAAAATAATTCGTCATTTGAATGCCTAGCGTTCGCGCCTGCCTGAGCAAATTTTACAAAAATTTGTTAGCCTGAATAAAAAATGCCGTATTCTTAATCTAGGTTTTACAATTGCTTTTGGGTTAAAGCTACTTGGCAGAAATCAACATAAATTATGACGTTACATGTGGCACACTCTGGACCAATGAAACAGTACGAGAAATGAGCATTTTGAAACTTGTATATGTTGCTTGTTGCTTATTTTTATCCACACAATCATAATACTTACTTTGTATCGAAGTACTGTTGACAGAAAACCAATTCTCATCACTACAATTTACTTGCGGATATAAGAGGTAACGTGGTTCCATAGTTTGTCGGATGAAAGGAAACGGCCGCGAAGAGCAAGCTCTCATAAATCTCTGACAGTAACTGACAGAGAGAGTTAATCGTGGGCAAGCTGGTAAATGAAGATGACATAATAAAACTGTCATGGCGTCAAAGCAAGCTCGGTTAAATTCTCTCAAAGTGCTAAGCAATGGCAAATATCGACTTAATTCAAAGATGGCCTCTTCAGTCGACGAGTGGTTGAAATAATTTAAAGGTTTGGTTGCGGATGTTGATTTGAAAATGGCAACTCTTCTGCGATCATTAAAGACGGCCATGATATCAAGGCACATTTTCGTTGTGGTGGGCTTGCATTGTTCAGCGGATCGCTTTTTCCTGAGTGCAGATTCAATGTTTTCAACTGGGAAGTAAAAATGATGTCATCAATAATGTTTGTTTTCTAACAACTCCAAGGTGCAAATTTTTTCAAAAAATATCTTTTGCAAGATCACAAAATCACATTTCATACAAGGGTTCTGAATTTGAAATTATATAACAGCACTGTATCTCAAACAATTTAAAAAATTTGTCAAGGGAAAAAATACTAGAATATGGCACTGTTGGTCAAAAAATAAAATAGTAGGATCCAAGAATATTTTGAATTGACAAAAAGAAAAATATTTGAGTCATAAATTGATTACTAATTTTTCCAGAATATTCTAGATTACCAGAAAACATGATACGAAATTTGCTCATGATATTTCAAATTAGCAGCGCTTAAATTTAATAGAAAATCCCGACATTTTATATACAGTTGACTATTGGAAAAAAGATCTTGTGTGTTTCTTGAAACAGACAAGGAATAAACTATACCGTAAAGTTAAGCCCTATAACTTTTCTGTCGATGACTATTAGTCGTTCTCACTGAATCTAGTATTATATTTTAACGGTTTTGGTGTATTTTGTATAAGAAACATAAAGTATCACAATTAACATATGATTCATGTTTCCATGTTTCATCACTTTCACTATATGTTTGGAAAAACGAAAGTCATGAGGCGCTAAATTTAAAAAATTTACTCATTCGTTATTATATTCATTCGTTGGATTGAGTGTATTAACTTCCTGAAAACATTTGCTTCACAGAAGACAGAAAGAAGAAATATTCTCATCCCCGCATGGAATTTGTTTTTGTAAGATGAGAGTAACAACACAAGTCGATTTTAAGGAGGCTATATCAGGGTCAGGGAAATAACTTCTTGTATTTCTAGTACTTGATAGGACGAAAATTTTATCTTCATAAGAACATATGTATTGAAGATATAACTTTCACTTTATCGAATCAAACTATTATAACAATTCTTCTTAAAGCTGCTCTACAAATTCAGGATGCTGCACAGGTGTATATATCTTGACGATATAGTTTGAGCAAATAATCGAAAAACGTTTAAAAGTAGAACTGCGTTTTCTCCTTTTTACGACAATTCCAGCAAGGAGTCACATACTTCCACGTCCAAAAGCTCACGAAGATAAAATTTTCGACGTATCAAATATATTTGAAATCTTTTTTAAATCGATTTTCTTATCTGAAGCTATTTCTCTGACCTGGTGTAGGCACTTGAAACTTCTGCTGCGATTACATTGGTTATAAGCAAATTTAAAAGACATACTTCTACGATTTCTTACTGCAGACGTCGAATCTAAATCAAGAAAAATCAATGAGACAGTGCTTAACACTAAGAATAGTCAAAGCTCCATGTGCAATCATTATTGGACTTACTAAAGCAGCTTCTCTCTGTAAATTGACTGCACCTCCACTCACGAGGCCACAAAAAGTTCAAGCGCCTCCTGGCATAAGAACACTCTCGAAAGACTTTTTCACAGCTCGAGCGACATGCTGGTCTCTTTCCCAAATTGTACATGGGCACCACAACCGAGCAGAGGAAGGGCACTAAATATTCGCTGCACAATGTGTATCTCAGGGGATAAAAAGGATAAAGTCTTTGTCTAATAGCATTTAGGTTTCTGTCGTTAAATCTATTTGGTAATAGATACTGACGGTAATATTCGTGGCACGGGTATAAACTGGATGTAAGTTGGTACAAATTGTGATCCAGAACATCTGAAAATGATTAAAATCATTATAAATACAATGCACAATAAATATCAACCAAAAAATGAAGGCTAATGTACATGTCAAGTGAAAGAAAATTCGAAGTTGCAAACAACAAAGGTCATAAACGTGCTTATACGAAGTATTTTTTTAACTAGTTGTGGAGTCACATTTGACAGATATTTACACTAAAACAACACAAGTGCATACATACAAACTACTCTTTGAAAATATCCTAGTGCTCCAGTTTCAGTATTGACATACGCTAAAAACACATCGTGATTGTTACGCAAGATCAGTGATAAAGGGGAAGTTGGTGCAGTTGTTGTTCTGTGCAGATGTTGAGCGTAAGTCGCTGCAGTTTCAATCATTGGCTTATAAAGGAAAATTACAGCGTTTGCACTCCTTGCAAACGATGACTGCAACCAATTTAAAGATACTCTCATTCTTCCTGTTGTTTCGTAATGTGCATTCAAAGGTGGGGGCAATTTTTCTTGGCGATTTTGGCGATCGTAGATACCTAAAGTAAATGTAAGTATAAGTTGTAGTAATGTGGTCAAGTTTTCAAAAAATTTTCAAACATTTTTGTGGCAAAAGCTTTTGTTATTGGAAAAATACACTTAAAATAATTAGTTGTGTATTCTTGCAACTCGAATTTTTCTGAACTCATTCAAATTTAACTGTATTACTAAAATCATACTTTTCCCTATAAATATTTGGTGAAACAAGGCATTTTTTCTGCTATAAATACTTTATAAAACAAAACTACATTTTTGTAATTTTGGATTATTTTGAAATGTTGCACTTCCTTAGCTACTTTTTTATGTTGCAAAGTTTCCCTTGACAATATTGCATGCTTGTAAAAAATAACATGAACACTTGGTACAGGGAACTCTTGCCTTTTTTGAATTTTTATTTTCAACTCTGATGTGAAACTTAATTTCTACTTACTAATAGTCGAAGTAACATTCTCGTTTAATGAATCACAATTCACTTGAACAGGTGGCCATTGAACAGTATAAAAATAGCGTTGTTCAATCATCGTTAGGGCAAATTGACAAAAATGAAATTGACTTCCAAAATAATTCAAGCAGTCGCTTCTGCGTACACGATAACTTTGCTGGCAAACTGGCAAGTACAGGCGACATAATATGTCAGCGAGGCCTTCATAGCAACGATCGTAATTTTGCGAGGAAATAAAATTATCTTTGTGCAATCTTGACAGTAAACTAAAAAACTTGTTATGCTTATTCAATTCGTATACAGCTTGTTCAACGGACGCGTGACCAAAAAAATTGCGAAAGTGTCTGTCCACTGAATTAAAATATGGAATCGAGCGATTACTTCTCCTCCGAAACACAGAACAAATGTGCTGCTCTCCGACAAACTGGCAGGAGTCATTCACTAAAACGAACGATGTAAGATATAAATATACATGATTTCCTAAAATTTATATCATAATGAGGACTATGAATTAAAGCATTTGATCGCCATAAATTTATGTTACACAAAAAATGTTGTAAGAAAAATAAATAAAAATACCCTTTAGTGGAGGCAAGTTTGAATTTGCTGAAAAACGTAAGAAAAGAAGTGTCAATAATTTGCAATTGTTCAACACTCGACGTTAGGTCTCACTTGCATTAACTATATACTTACGATAAAGACACGGTACTGTTTTCGTCAAGTTAGTGCAATTCAGCTCCACTGGCCATTTAAATTTTAATTCATTTATTGCATAGGAACAGGACTTCACAACGTTCTTGCACAACGATGGACATGGTTGTAAAAGTGTTCGATTTCTTGCAAAATAACGTGGGAAATGTGCAGCACAGAGAAGAAGTTTCAAATCGGAGGAGCATCCTGTATCTAGCAATGGTCCAAATTGGTAGAACGACAAAATGGTCTCATTTTCGTTGGCATGACCAAATATATTTGGTAGTTTTGTATAGTTATAATCGTCTGAACAGAATTTGATTGGTATATTTTGAATCTTGTCCAACTGTAATTTGAATCTCTCAAGGCTACCCAAGATTTTGACTCTGCTATTTACAGAACCGATGAAAAAGTCATATTGAGTGTTAAAAGGAATAGTTGTTTCAAATGTAAGATTTGTCTCTGACAAACGAGCAAGAGCATATGAAGTATTCCTGTCTTCTCTTTCCTTATAAAGAATGTACGTAGATACGCTGCTATCATATTTAAAGTTATCAGGAAATCTGTTCCAATTAAATTGCACGGAATTTCCAGAAGAGGTAAATCTTATAGAGGGTGGAGGAGGTGACAGACCTCCAAAGGATCGCTGGTATATTGCTTGGTACATTGCTATAAAGAGACAACGTCTTAAATCTTACACTTTACTTTGAAAATAATGCAATTCGAATGTCTAATCATATTTGACAAAAATTTTAAAACTTTGCTAAATTAGCTTAGGATTTATGATTAAACTTAGAACATCATAAAACTCCGGATAAACACCCGATAGTTGGTTAATACAACATGTGTGTATAGGTGGATTGCATGGTTGAATTCAATATACCATTCTTCTTGTTTACATTTCAAATTTCAATCAGCATAATGAAAATCGCTTTGTTATTTGATTCCAAGCCACTTATTCAGGCCGGGTCTAAGACCACGTTGACACTGCTTCGGATCAGTCACCGGGTTGCGTTATTACTGCACCAGAGCGGAACTGTTTGAAAACGTCACTTTTTCACACTTTCTAAACGCGGTCGAACGAAAACGGAGCGCTATGCATTGTCGTGTAAACAGCTAATTGTTAATATTTCGCTACATTTTAGATAGCAGTTCTCTTTAATTCGTCACGTGTTGTGGCGCATAACTGAAAATGGTGATCATTTTATGGTTTGGAAAGCTTTTAATGACTGATTCCGTTGTAATTATTAAAAATCATTCTTTTATATGACTTATGACTTATGACTTGAGATATAAACATCTAGCTATATGCATTTAGGAAATGGAAATCTCTCACAAACAACTAACAAAGTTTGACAGCGAGAGACATGTGTAAACACCCGCAAAACTGTAGCGGAATTCAAACGGATCAATGTAAATACAGTCAAACTCTGCCGTTACTTTTTTGCTCTAGCGTAGTTTAAACGTTGTCTGAACATTCTAAAAATTCGCCAACGTTAAGAATTTGCGCGATTCAGCAATAATTTATCCCAAAGGAGGCGTAAATGCAATTGAAATGAATTTCACTCTTTAAATTTGCAATAACCTAATGGTGCAAATCGTATGTATCATTATTTTCAATTGCGTTTACAGGTCTTCAGTGATAAATTACTACTAAATTAGGCAATTTTCAAGCATCGGCGATGTTCAAAGACGTGCAGACTTTTCAGATACCCTGCATGCATTAATACAAAAACAATTAAGCGACGCAACAAGAAAATCAATTGGCACTGATTCATTAGGCCTTTTGTTTTCACACAAAACTCAATGAATTTACGATAAATGGGTTTTAGTACTTACGATCTCGACCACGACTATTTGACAATGATGTATTGAAGTTATCACAGTCAACATTGATTGTTGGCCATTTTATTACGTATCCTTGTTGACGAAGATATCCAATGGCAACGGGACAAACACGATTTAAAGTTTCGTTACATTGGCTTGCCGTGATAGGATAATCAGAAGACACACTGACACCACAATTGGGTAAATACAGATTACATAAAAGAAATCGAATCTCGTTTAAGCATTGGCTAACAATACTGGGAGTTTCGGGAACTTCCTGTTGAAGTATCAGAAGATGCACAAGTTTCGTGTGCAAGCTTAACTCGTAAATGGCTTGTTGTTGACTGCTGTGATTAAAGTAGTTAGTAAATGGCTTGTTGACTGTTTGGAAGTACTTATCTGAACCGTTCATGTTATTGATGGAGGAGCAAATGGGCGTTCCACCTTCGTTAATGGTCAGAGAACAATTTTTTGGAGCTAAAAAAACATTTGCATTGTTAGCAACATATATAGTACCAATACGCATGTAACAGTTTGAGTAAAGAAGGAATAAAGCTTGAAAATAGTAAAAAAAGTATTAGTATAGCAAAAAAGCTCTGGAGCAGAGTATGCCATGTAAAAACAAAGAAATTAAACTTATATTAAACAAAGACAAATGGAGTTGTCAAATGAAATGAAATGAAATAATCAGCTCATATAAATAATAAGTACACAGGTAAATTTGATGGAGTTGCTGATTGTAATAAATCTTAAATTTTCGATTTTACCTTGACGTGGCGAACGCAATCTTGTATCTAAAATATGAGGAATCAATCAACACAAAGTAAAGAAGTCTGAACTCAATCTATTAAGAGAGAGTCATCAGACGCATATACACATAAAGTTAATTTGCGTTGCTTTGGGGAGCGGCAATTGATAAATGGAGAGTCAATAGCCACTGAACAAGAAATCTATGAAAAATAATATTTCTTGATATGCTTTTTTGAAATATAAATTTTGAATCAAGTGGTACTGTTTACAGTTGTTTAAAATTGTTCGAGGAAATAAACACACATCAATATAGACACTGAACAAGTTTTGCGAAATATGCAGTGGCGAAGCCAGCCCGAAAGTTCAGTCCTGCAGTGCAAATTTCAGTATAACATTATTCATTTCTTTAAAAATCTATTATTTTCATATGCAGTGAGCGAACACACAAAAATTTGCATGGCTTCGCATATATGCGTAAGAAAAAAAATTTGATTCGAACTTTTATGCTCTGTAACTTAAAGAAATATTTAATTAATTCAAAAATTTTTAACAGTTAGTGTAACCTCTTTTGTAAGAGTTGAAATAGGAACGAGTGAATACGGCTCAAATGAAAATGTTTAATTAAAATTGCATATAGTTCTATACTTTGAGATTGAGCAATATGCCATAATAAAAAGCCGGAAAGAGTTTTCAAAACTTAGCTAAGTAGTAAAAAGTTACTGGAATCCAGTTACACTATAAAAAGAGATTACTAGTCAGGCAGATACTGGTATGAACACTTACGGTTTTTTGGAAAAATTCAATTTTTAGATAAATGTATATTTTAAAGGCTGTTTAACTCGATTCCGCATGTTGGACATCCTTAATTTACTTGAGAGATGAATCCAACTACAGTCTTCTCTTCACTTGTATTCAAATTAGTTTGCCGCCATGTTTTATGATTATTTTATGTTAGAAGCGAGCCCACAATTAATTTTGACCAGCGCCTAATTGAAAAGTCATGTATTATGGACGCATTCATCAAATAGCGCAATTAAAACATAACATTGTGCGTCAGTATTTTTTAAACATTTCGAAAAAGCTGAAATCAAAACATTTTATATAAGTTTAACTTAAGTTCCATCTAAAAAACGAAAGAAGGTCAAAAGCAATGCTTGCATCATAAATTGTCGAAACCAAACGACCGAAGGTATAACAAATTTCAGTGAAAAATCTAGACAAGCAGTTTATAAACTACATATAGAACTACACGCACAGCAAGACAAGTCTTGGAGAGTAGGGAGGAAGTAAATAATCCTTTGTTATGTTTTTGGAAAATTTTCTCGCACTTATTTACCGGCGCACTCATTTATCACAGAAGTTATATTAATTTTATGTATGATATTTTTTTTTAGGAAACAAAGATAATAGTTAATAGACCTGTTTGATTTAGTCATTGATATGAATATTATAAGTTGTACAAAAAAAGTCGGATGACTATGAATGCTGTATTGGCGTGAAAAAATAAACCACTAAAGATAATAGTAGATACAAAGCTTTACAAAAACAGAAAACTGAAAATGGAACTCGAAATTTGCAGCAAGTGGTTGTTTTAACTCAAGAGAGCAAAAATTTGTGATGCAGAAGTCACATTTACTGATAGCCCGACAATAATCGCACGGGAATTACATTATCATGGGACTTGTTACATCGACTTCACTAGAAAACGATGCGCAAAACAGAAACATATACCAGGTGTTCGAGGAGCTAGTTGCTTTTATTGAGAAAAAAGTTGTTTACTGGCCGTGAACTTATGCGCATAGCTGATATTTATAAGCAATATGAAACTAGGGATCCAAGGATAGTGCAAAGTTTCTCACAAAAATGTTCTTAATCATGGCAGATAAAATTAGTTTCAAGAAACTTTTGCATCGAACTTTGGCGATTCAAAAAATGCTAAACTGAAATTCATTTTGAGAAGTGCTTATCAAATCCTAAACAGTTTGTTTTTCGACGAATAGCTACAAGTTGCTCCAATATTGCGTAAAGAAACGTTAATTTGTGTGCGCACGTATGTAGCGGATACATAATAGAATGTTTGCACCTACGTCAAAGAATTTGATTATTTGCCATTATGGGGGAGTGAAGAGTGGTGCAGTAATACAATTTACTATTATATCGAAAAAGTTTTTTCTCAATTTATTGCGTTTTTGCGTGGTCTTAAAACATTCAAACGACAGCAAAAGGGCCTTTCCTTTTGATAAATGCACAAAATAGTTTGCGCAGTAGTTTGGTAGACGACGGATGATTGTAGGCAGTTTCTGTTAAGTTGGGCAGTTTTGTTTTTGTCGGCACTTGCATGTTTTTGTTTGTGTCTTTTTGTTCGCGGTGTTGTCGTCAATTTTGTGTGATGTTCTCAATATATGTTTGTTATGATTGTTGATTATTTGTTCGTTATTGTTCATGCAGCTGTAGCTGAGTTTGATGGTGTTACGGTTGAATATTTTCCTGAGTTTATGGTCTATGGGGGAGTGTTTGTCGATTAATGAAAGGAATTTGTGCCCAATGTTCGTGTGGACGTTTTTGCTAAATGGAGGGTTGTACCAAAGGATATTTTGTCGAAGTCTGTTTTTCCGTTTGGTAGTAGCGTCTGGGTCGAATTTTAGAGTGTATCGGTATGGTGCTGTTATTTGGTCAAATGATGCTTTGTCGGATGATAAGGATGATAGACGTTTGTTGATGGTGGCGGGTATGTTCTTCGTTATGGTTGGTGGATGGTTACTTTGGCTGTGGACGTATTGAAGAGAAGTGTTGGCCTTTGTGTAAGGTCGATAGGAAGAATTGTCAAGATTTAACCCTTTCATTCCCAATGATGCCATATGGCAACATTGTCTTTTATGCTACATAGCTTACATGAAGTAAGCTCAAAAACAAAAATCAGGCAAGCGTTCTTAGGTTTTGATGTGGGTGATGTGATATGTGAGGCAAATCTTCGTAAATTTGTTTTTATATGAGTTTAATTGACTATTTCACATGGTGTCCTACGGAAGTAAGTGACAGCAAATTTTCGCGCATTTTCAAAGGTAAGTTTGATTATAATATGTTTAGTTTTGTGATATATAAAAATATTAATTGATTAAATTATTGGTCCTCGTCATATTTAAGCAATTATTTTATTAAAAGCGCGATCGGCCCACATAGATTTTCTAATGTATAATGTTGTTGCCATATGGCAACAATGGGCAGATCAATCTCTGGAAGATGTCACTGTAGAAATAGTGTTAATTGGATATAAACTAAGCATTTTCTTTCTATAACTGATGTTTTTATTCTTTTGAAGAGAGTTATGGATTTGACTGAAGCAGTAGAGCTCATTTTTTGTCCTAATGGTGAAATATCAGATGTAAGCGACATTGATGATGGTGATGATGAGCTGGAAGATATTTTCCATGCTGAGGATCCAGATTTTGTTGCCCTTCCAGACAACATTGAAATTCATGCAGTTCATGAAGATAGTGAAGTGAGTGATATTGAAGATAATGATGAACCTGTAGGGCGATCTAAACCAGCAAAGCGATGCAAGACAAAAAAGTGTAAATGGCAAAAGAAAGATGCTCCTTTTCCCGAAAACCATTTCAATGATACATTCCCAGATCCACCTGAACAACTGCATTCCTCTTTGGAATATTTCAACATGTTCATTGATTTTGAAATGATAAAACAATGCACTGAACAAAGTAATATTTATGCAATGCAGAAGGATGGTAAGGAATGTGCTATCCAAAATGATGAAATAGAGAAGTTTTTTGCCATCCTCTTATACATGGGTCTGTTTCCTGCACCATCATACAGAATGTACTGGGAAAATTCTTCTCGGTTCAATCCTATTGCTGAAACAATGGCAAGAAATCGCTTTGAAATTATCCTGCGCTACTTGCATTTCAATGATAATTCCAAACTGCCGGGAAGAAATCATTCTGATTATGATCCTTTATTCAAGATACAACCGTTATTGAGCAGTTTGAGAAAAAACATGCTCAAAGTTGACCCAGAGAAGGTAACAGCATTGATGAGCAAATAATTCCCTTCAAAGGTCGCAGTTTCCTGAAACAATACAATAAGAACAAACCCCATAAGTGGGGTTTCAAAGTCTTTACAAGGGCTGGTGCATCCGGAATGATGTATGACTTTGAAATATACTCTGGAAAGCAAATGAAACTGGAAGGAGATCTTGGTATCTCTGGCAATATTGTACTCAGACTTACCAAAAATTTGGCAGATCACAAAGATTACAAGATATATTTCGACAACTGGTTTGCATCAGTGCAGTTGGTAGAAATGTTAAAAGAAAGAGGCATTTGGGCAGTAAAATTGTTATAGTTGTAAATATTTCTTACTTGTAGTATTGCTATTTTGTACATATTTTTTTTCTTTTACTTGGAGTAAATGGGAGCCTCACTGATCAATTGTATTTTTAGTTAATTTTATGGATTTTAATACAGGCAAAATCATTATAACACTTCAATGTTCAATCAATAAACATGAGTATTAAGTATAGAGCTATGTCACTATACTCCCAATGTTGCCATTTGGCAACAAAATTTTAATTCCATGAAAATATAAATTTTTAGACTAGCAATGAAATTCATGACATATTTAACATTGTTTCTATGCATATATAGCGCAGAAAAATTTTTTTGGCCACGGCTAATAATTTGGGAATGAAAGGGTTAAGGTGATGTCAAGGAAGTCGATGATTTTTTTCTTTGCTTTGATAGTTATGCGTAGTCCATTGTTGTTGAAGATGCGGCATATCTCCTTTTTGATGTTTTCTGTTCCTCTTGGTGAGGTGTTTGAAATGGTAAGTCCGTCGTCTCGATAAAGTCCTATGTCTGTCGTGATGTGTTGTAGTTGAGAAAGGAGGTAGCTTTCTACGAGTTTGCATGTCTCAGCACCGTCGAAGCTGCCCATTGTGACGTTGAATGTAGAGTTATGTTTCTTTTTCCAGGGTTGTTGGTTGTGTATGAGGAATGAATTCTTAGCGTGTATAATGTTTTTTTCGGCGTTTGTGATGTTGTCGTAGATTGAGGCAAAATCCATTGCTTTGTTTAGTACGTCTTGGTTAATGGATGGATAGAAGTCTACGGTGTCGAAGGATGTGAAGGTGACGTTTTTTTTCAAACTTTATAAGTTTGAAAATTGGTAATCCAGGCATTTAATACATAAAAGATAAAAGTTTCATAATACATAAAAGATAAAATCTTTTAAAATCCGGAGAAATTTTTATCTTTTATGTATTAAATGCCTGGATTACCAATTTTCAAACTTATAAAATCGACATATGGGATAGATACATACCCATCATATACTCACAACTAAAGAAAAAGGACAAAAAAATACAACATTGCACTCTAATAATATTAACACCGATCATATTCACAATACACCAAAACCCATGGCAACGCTTTCCACCCCATCCAATCACATTAATCCACCCGCTAATCCAATTAGACGCTCTAAGCGTCTACAAGCAAAAAGCACATGTGAATAGTAATTTCCTCACTCTGATGAAGGCTCGAAGCAACGAGTCGAAAGCTAAAAACAATCATTTAAAATCCGGGGAAACTTTTATCTTTTATATATATATATATATATATATATAGGAAGTTTTGTTTATTTGAATCTCCGTAAGTACAGTGCTCGATGCTTAAGAGCAGAGCGTAAATATTGATGAGAAAAAGAAAATACACAAAAACTACAAAGATTCGAAAAAGTTCAAAGATTGGTATTCTAGGCATTATATTATTTAAAAAATTTGTAGACGCTTAGAGCGTCTAATTGGATTAGCGGGTGGATATATATATAAATTGTTAGTTTAGAATGAAACAATTAAATAAATGTCTTAGTTGATGTGAGTTGAAGTTGGTGTTAAATGCTCTTTTAATATCGCTGAAAAACTGATAATAAATCTCTAAAAAATTATAAGCGTTGTTGCTAGACACCCCCCGGAAAGTTTACACTATGACTGACTGACTCGTGTGAATTTTCGCCACTCATCACACTACTACAAAGTTCCCATGGAAACTTTTCACTAAAAATCAAGTCAAAAGTAGTTGAGTATAGAATAAACTGCCAAACAATTAAAGTCCAGACTATTCGGAAACATATTAACATACAAATAGGTATGGTTCTGTATTGCGTATCATTGTCTAGTAAAGTCGGGTAAAAAGTCCGATTTTACTATATAGTTCCTGTGCGATTATTGTCTGCCAATCAGTAATTGCGACTTCAGAAAACATGGCGGCAAACTAATTTGAATACAAGTGAAGTGGAAAAATTTCGGAATCATCCCTCAAATTCAAGATGTCCAACAAATGCGGAATTAAATTAAGCAGACTTTGAACTATACATTTATCACAAAAATGAATTGCCCGAGAAAACCGTAAGTGTTAGCCTATTTTACTATGCCTATCTTCCTAACTATATGGGTCAACTTAAATTTGATCTGCTCCAAACAATTCAAAAAAAATATTGAATGAGTTAACCACCCAATGGTTACGTTCATGATTTACATGATTTACATAATTTAAACATTTCAATAAAAGGCAAAATTTAATTAATATGGATTTCTCTTGCCTCCAGACGCAGTTTTAGCACTGTTGTGAAAATATGTAACTTGAACAAACATTTTTATTTCAGGCGTCATTTACTTATTTTTTCATACTGTGTTTCAACAAACGTCATAGCATTTAGAAATTCTTATTTCAATATTTACAAATTTACTGAGTATAAATGTTTGCTTAAACTTTTTCACACACACTGTGTATACGTGGAAAAAAACAGTTATGATCTCATAGGTCGCTGCTATTTTAAACACAATTTTAATAAATCATTCTAATTGAAATGATTCACATCTATATCATATACTGATGTCTACTAGGGATTTTGAAATAAGTTGTTCTTTATAGACAAAAATTGCATAACATTATAAATTGACTTACTGTTTGATATACACATTGAAGTGTTGCTTGTGTTAAATTTTTGGCATGATATTTTATCAGGCCAATAGAAATACAATTGTTCCATCGCGTAGTTACAAGCGTTGTAGACTTCCTCGCAAAGCGACCTGCAAGCCGGCTGTATTCCGCGGCCAACATCGTAGCGTGGAATGTGCACCAAGCACATCAAATAGATAACATTTGGATGGCAAAAAGTAGCAATGAGTGGTGAGAAACGGGACATTTCTGTGATGGCTTCGGTTTGCGATGTATGATTGAGCATGTTTGCCATTGTAAATGAAGTGAAATTGTAGTAATTGCGGCATTGTGGAACTTCAACAGGCTGCAAGCCTACAGGAAGAGGAAGAGCCCCTGGGAAAATAAAATTGATCAATGTATTGGATAAATTAAGGAGCAAATCTAAAAAATTATGAATCAGACAATAATGATAAAATAATACCGCTTAATACGTCAGACCAATTCTCCATAAATTAGTTATAAAAGCTTGTACAGATATTCTAATGGTTAAAACACTGATTGACCTAGTTCATATGAAATGATCTTAGAATCAACAATGTTTAAAAATTCATACAGGTTTTAGGTCTTATTATGTTAAGTCAAAGCAATACAACCCACCAACATTGATGTTGTTAAAAATTGAAAGTTTTACAAGTTTAGTAATATACTTTGAAATATTACTTGACTCTAGTTCGTTTATCTGTAAATGTAAAATGAAAATGCGTAAATGCACTGTAAGCAGTAAATACTACAATCAGTTTGGCAGAAAAGCAGTGAAAGCTTAAATAATTTTCATTTCAATTCAAAAAACATGGCAGAAATTGTAAGTAAACAAACATTTTCATAAGTACAATTGCATTGTGCGTGTGACACACGCCATTATGCATGTCACAACATTATGTCTCATACGCTTAAATTGATGCATCGCACATTTCAACAAGAAGTCACGCACAAAGATAAAATTTATCAGTTTAGCAAAAGCATCCATGGTGATTCTAATAGGTTTTAAAGCGGTTTTGATGACGTTGGAGTTTGAACTTTGAAATTTCATCACTCCCCTTAGTGCACGACTTTGATGGCTCGTTGGTGACTCTAGTAACAGTAACTTAATGACAAAATATATCTCGAGTCCGGGACATGGCATTTCAGAAATCAAATTTAAAAAAATTCCAAGGCCCAGGTGTGTTCTCGGACCTACCTAAGCTCATTGAGGTAATGCCGTATAGGCAATCTCACGCATTTGCAAATTTGAACCTCGACATCCTTGAAACTATCTAAAATTCAACACAACAGCAAGTTTTGCTTTTTGTGTGAATATTTACAACAATCTGCGCTGGCAACGAGGCTTTCTGAAGCGATAGAAAGGTAGAAGGCGGAACAGTGCAAGATTGCGTTGGAAATTTGAATTCTGTGGACAGTTGGTCTCATCATCAATGATCAGTTCAATCATTCACCTCGGTCCCAGTTTTCAATAGCACGATGTATTTTAATACATAAGTTGGTTTAATCCTTTAATACATGGGCACGCGGGTGGATTATGAATTGACAATTTTAAGAAGATGGCAAAACGCAAAAACGCAAAGGAGCTAATCAAATATACAGGATATCATGCTTTCTATAAAGATGTCGCTCTAAGTAAGGGTTAGAGCGACATCTGCAGTGCGGTGTTTGAAATTATAACAATCTTTCATATGACATTCCTTTCACGGGAAAACATTAGCCCAACAAATTGACCTGCTCTCCACTGTGTCACTTCATAGCTCAGTTGGTTAGAGCACTGCACCGGCACCGCAGAGGTCATGGGTTCGAATCCCGTTGAGTCACCTGAATTTTTCAGGTTCATGAGACAATTGCTTAAATTGTCCAGCAAAGTGCGAAGATCATATCTACATTTAATTTCAAACACCGCACTGCATATAACTTTCATAACTGATTATCAGTTAGTAATGATTGTTTCAATGTAAGAAAATTAATTAAAATTTCAAAATGAAAAAATTATTATAATATCCAGTAATTTTAAGGTCGTTTATTTTAATCTGTGCACTTAAAGACATGAGTGAACTTAGTGAGTTCGAATTGTTAGAATGCCAGATTGCAACTCAACATTTGTTGAAAGATGAAAGAGAATGTGACATAACTTTGTACTTAAGTCTGATTGAAAAGGAGGAAGAAGCGTCCACATATTTTTGAGATCCAATGCAAGTAGAAGAAATTGAAAGGAGAGAGAAACAAAAAGTTCCAAAAAAAAAACAAGAGATAATACGGCGTAGGAATTGACTATTTCCAAATCATGGGCAGAATATCAAAATGGACAACTTCCAACATTATGTGAACAATACCCTTATGTTCCAAATGATTTGAAAAATGTTGGTGTCAGAGAAATGAGTCATTGGTTAACACGTTGTATTTTATAAGTAATGAATCGGGATGGTTCCTCGTATCCTGCTAACTCTTTATAAGCAATTACATGTGGATTGATCAGGAATTTCAATAACGACTTTGCACAATGCAAATTTCGACTCGTTTCGAAAAGCGTTGGATTCTCGCATGAAAGAAATGACTGCTTTGGGAATAGGTACAAAGGAACAATCGTCAGATCCTCTATCCAAAGATAACGAGGAGAAATCATGGTCTACACTGTAGACTCTACAGGAACTATGGGTTTTCAATCATGAAGAGCACTAAGTTATGGTGTGCTCTTCTATAATTGGAAGGTTTTCGGTTTTCGGGCAATGAATGAGCATGTAAGTTTACAAGTTGAACAGAATCAATTTGGAGAAGACAAAGATGGCGAGTGTCTTGCTTTTAACGGACGAGCATGTAAAAATATTCGCGGCGGATTGCAGCAACGAAAAGTTGACGTAAAAGCAATATGCACAGGCAGCAAATCCTAGGTGTGTGGTGGAGCTTTTCAAAAAGTATTTGAGAGGTGTTCCATCTGAAGGTCGGTTTTATCGGAAATCTATAGAAAGATCTGAGCCAGGGGACAATCTATATAGTTCAAAATCTATTGGAGTAAGCCCATTAAGTAAATATTTACGATCAATGTGCGAGTTCGCTAACATTGACATGAAAGGACGAAGATTTTCAAATCATTCTGGAAAGTGACGTGCGCAACAGCGCTGTATGAAAGTAGGCATTTCGATGAACAGATCATCATGTCTCGTACTGGTCATCGAAGCACATCAATTAGATGCTACATAAGGCCGAGTTCTACTCTTGTTTATTCAGTTTCAAATGCACTTCAACCATTTTCTGCAGTCGACGTTTCAAGTTCAAAGATAGCGAAGGTAGACAAGGAAAAAAAAACATGTGGTAGCACCGCAAATACACAAGAGACAAAGACTTTGTTGGTTTTGAATATGGGAAACACGGTTGTCGTTTCATTTTAAGTGATAGAAATGTGTTCGTTATTAATTTTGAGTGCAATATTAAGTTTTTCTGATTTGTTTGTAAGAGTTGTTTTTTTTAATTTATGTGCAACATGAATATGTTTATTTCATAATAATATGTTTTAAACGCCTGAGATTTTATCTGTTGGTTAGTTATTCGGATATGCACTATAGAGTTACTACAGTCATTAGTATTTTTTAAGCTCATTAGTATTTCCTATTTAAAGAATACGAATAAGGAAATGATAATAAAAAAACAATATCCAAATTAGTGTTCTCTATATAGGGAATACTAATGAATTTAGACAATAATAATCAGCTATTATATTCCATTGTTTTCTCTCCATTTGCGCATTTTCTTAGAGCCTTAAAGCCCATACCAACTCGTAAACTCTAGGCACTATGAGTATAAGATATAGAACATCAAAATACTGGATGCTGATTGGCCGAGTGGCTTTGGCCATGTTCTAAAGAATGCTTAATCTGTATGTATTCTTGAATCCAGTGAAAGCTTTTACTACGGAAAAAAGTAACCTGGAACGAAGCCAGTTTGTTAGAATTAATCAAAATGCCCCGCATGGCACACTGTTTCGTGGAGCAGGTAGAAATTTGTCCTACTTTTCCTAAGTTTACATTGATAAAAACATAGAATTAGCGTCAGAAGTAAACAAAACCACAAATGATAAAACGATTGACCGGCTCTTTCAAAAAAAATAAAATCTTTGTATCTGTTGGCCTATAGCAGAGCATGATAGAGGAGAAGTAACCAAAAGCTAACTTAACAATGAGTAAGATAGCTGCTGGAATATAGGGAGGATTAGGTAAAGTACGGACGACTTCACGACAGCAACATTCCAATGAAAGATCAAAGTCTATATTACAGTGTTGTTTATAAATAATATAAAAAAGGACAAAAATGCATACTGAATCACGTCTCTTTACGTACATTCGAAATTTTTTATATTATTTTAAATTGCAATTTAATGTAAAACCGTTTGATTTTTCTTTTGTGTTCAAAAATATTCCAATTTCATTTTACTTTTAACTTGATTAGATATTACATATGCAAATAACTTTGACTGTATGGAGAAACATGATTTTAAAACACTACAAAAATATAAAAAATTGAAGTTTAGCGCTTAACCATCAAAGACGTGGAAAAATGTGTCACCGATAATTTTCCTTGATGCCGTGTCTACTAGATTTTGCACTTGCAGTAAAGGACATATAAAATTTGATAGTCTTATACCAAAGCTTACAGAATTGAAAAATTACTCAAATTCATTGAATGTTATTCAAGTTACAGAGCGACAAATTCATATTCACAACTTTTTATAAAGTTCCTTTGTATTTACGTAGGTCAACACATACCACAAATATATATTCTCGTTTAATTTCCGTTTAATTGTGTTTGGGGCAATTTTCAGCACGCATCTTTCCAAACAATAGGAACATGTTTTTTCCAATGATTTTTATATCATATCGACTTCTTTTCTCAAAATGATTGAAAATTTTGAGTAACCAAAATTTGTACATTTTTGAAAGTGGCGAAACCAGACCAAAATTGCAATTTTGTTACTAAACATGTATTTAAAAAATTTTATGTGTCTTAATTGTTGTATTTCTAGCGAATAAGATAAAATTCTCTTCAAAAATCAGCTATAAAATAGACATTAAGTAGCTATAGCAGTTTGCTCTTTATTGAAAACAAGTTCAAATGATCTCTCTCTATCATGGCTCCTTCTCAGCTTGCACTAATGTAAGCAATTCGTTACACTTTACTTTCGCAAAACAGAGCTATTTAAACTCAATGCCAGTTATACAGCACAAATCACAGATTTCTCATTTGCAACGAAGCAAACTAGATCACAAGGACGTAATTATTGAACTAATGTAACTGGGTCGATGTGTACGAAACTCAAATTTAAAATTTTATACAAGTATTAATTTATTTCTCAAGAGTAACATTTGTCCATTTTGATGAATTACTATCATGATATCAATATTATTGCAACGCGACTATGACTTTTATATGACATTAATGATGTTCGAATATTCAATATCTATGATCTCTTAGATTTTCATTAACTCTAATTGATTTGATAAATATAATGGTATTGACAGTGTAAAATATTTAAACTGTTGGTTTTTTATATGAAGAGAGTTATAACGAATACAAAAGCTCTCTATCGTTTTGAATATGAAAATAATCATTATAACCCACCCACAAAATAACTTAAGCCCCACATTTTATCGTAATAAATCTCACATAATGAAAAAAAATAAGTTTTAACAAAATAAGTTAGTGAAATGAATATATTATTGTTATCTACTTTCACACGGACATATAAGATTTGCATGAATCAGAAATAATTATTATTCACCTATTTTGCTTAAAGGTCTTTGGGAATCGAGTATTGCTGAATCATGCACATTTTGAACGGCGGCTTATTTCAAAGACGAGCAGGTTGTTTTGAGACACCCTTCATATTTTTCATACAAGCACCAAAGCTTTTCTTCTCCTAGGAAGTCGAGATAACCTCTAAAGCCTGGTTTTCATTAGCAACATCAGCATAAGGACAAATAAAGACAAAAAAATTCAAAAGAAGGCAATCAAGCGACTGACACAATCATCAGCATCAGCATAAGCATAAGGTAGAACAAAAGCAAATGGAAAAGAAAATCCCTTTTCTTTTATTTCCTACGACCTCTCGAGAATATGCTTTGCTTTGTTTTATCACTTGTGCTTGTGTTTCAAGTGAAAACCAAGTTTAACAGCAAAACATGTACAACACAGTAAACATGACAAGACAAATTGATTAAATGCATACTTTATGTGAAGCTCACACAAGACGAACAGCATGTAAGTTGAAATAGAGCCAAATATGTCTTTATCATTTAACTTACTGACAAGGATATTTTGCATTATTTTATTACATTATATCACCAAAATCTTGTCAGTCTATGCAACGTACTTTTATCAAATCACAAAATTTCCCCAAAACGATTTTGTTGGATTATGTCAAATAATGAACTTGACCCCAGATGGATATATCAAATAACAATATTTGTCGATATGATTTAATTTTGTTTTTTTAAATAACTGCAATAATATTTTAACAATTGGCGAGCCAATTGACGTCACAACTGAATAGTCACACGGCAATCTATACTATAGTCTATCTATAGAATCATTTATCTTGAATTAACTCACACATTATTCGCATACTCACATAGAAAAACATGTGGTAACGTTATCTTGTTTGCCGTAAGCTTCATCTTGTCTTGTGGTATTTGGTCGTGAACAAGGTGTTCTTGCAATATTTGTTACAATTAATTCATATTTCACGATATTGAAAGCGCTTGTCGTCTTGCATAATAACGGCCATGTTTCCAGCCATGTTTCCAGCCAGATAAATGCAGCCAGATCACAATGTAATTTATAGTGCCAAGGACAAGTTTTTAACCAAAAACTAAAATAGTTCGGCACATTGGCAGTTTTTTGCGTTTTTCGAGGAGAGACAGTAAATCGCAGCGAGTCTTCTATGTCTTATCAGTCAATTCGATATCGTTTTTGAAAAATAAGTGTTTGTAGAAACATTCAAAGTAGAACTTGAATACGGACGACATGTCGTCTGTCCTGGCTGTTCATCAAAGTTCTAGAGGTAAGGGTCAGTTTATTTGCCTATGTTTTTTCTTGGACTGTGAATAAATCCTGCTCTGCAGTATTTATAGTCTTAACTACAAACAACAAATATTATTATTGGTGGGAGTAGTTCCTCTGTTTAAGCTAAATATGGTACATAAGGCAATTTAAATAACGTCAATAACTGTTCCTTGGCTCTTAGCCGTGTGGGAACGGATACATTGATAAACTAAACTACGCACATACTATTTCCTTAACATGTTTTTGTGGTTTATGAGCATGACTCAACAAATTGCCTTTCAATATCATACACGTCGTAAAAACATTGATCTCGTAACCAATACAATTCAATGAGAGAAACTTATAAAACCCGTAGAATACGAATGACGAACGTATATTGTATTAAAACTATTTCTTACCTTATTTCCTTTATATCCTGCTTAAAGGCGTTAAAATTGTTGTCCATATGTGAATCAAAACCCATCAATTTTATGAAAAACTACTCTCCATAATACTAATCTATATACATTCTGGCCAGTTTATCTGGCTGGAGTAATGGCGGACGCAAAAGATGCGCACTTAAGAGCTGGGTACAAGTAGGGGACAGATTTTTCGCTGAGTGGCGCTTCTGTATGTATCTATTCTGTGATATAAGTACGATACATCGACTGACGAGGTGTTAGTTACATAATATAATAAAATAAAAAATGCGAAATATGCTTGTTAGTAAGTTAAAGAATAAAAGCAAACTCGACGTCCGATAAGTTCAAACACTTAGCGAAATAACAAAGAAAAGAGTTCAATGCTGTTTACAAAGTCAAGACGATTCAACAGTACAATATCGAGATCATATTTCAATGCCCACAACTCTCACTCCGTTGAACATATTGTGAAATAATATTGCAGTGTATTGCATCTAACAATCGTAGAAGTTTCCTGCGTTTTCAAACAACCTTTTTATGAATTTTTAACTTGGTTCACAAGAGGTAAATTAGCATAAGCAAAAAAAGACGGGTTAAAAAAAACAATCAAGTGAACAACGCAGCCTGTGACATAAGCACTAACATATAAATACATAGAAGAACTAAATAAGATTTAAAATAAATGCCCATTTTGGTTTATATAATGATCTAGACAAATAAAACAAAACGAAAGCGTGGTCGATGTGCAAGTTTATCTATCTATATACTAAAATTTTACATAATCATTTATTTCTATGTAGCTCTTATGAATTACCAGTGCATGTTGATGTATGAAAATGTGTTAGTTTTATTTTGACGTCGTTAGAACAAGAATTGCGTCCAGCCATGCAGTTATGATGGTTATTTCACTTTTGCAAGTGAACGGGTGACATGATCTATCTGGATAACTGGATTCTGTATCGCAACTTTATAAATGAATATCGCTATACTCCTGCCGGAATTAATATAAATGAATGTAGTCCCTATCTTAAAACGAACGCTCGTATATTGACAACTACTGGGTGAACTTTGCCATGTACCTTTGCTTTGAGAAGTAACAAATACAAATCGCAAGGTTATATGTCAATGTGCATCATGCATTATTTAAAATGTTGGATTAAAGAATTACTACATAATGATGCAATTAAAGCTTTTGCGACCAGCATAAAAAATGTAGAACACGTTGTTGGATGCTTCATATAATATCGTATATAAAGGTTTTTTCACTTTTCAGTGTGTTCAAGTTGCTTATAAACCCATAGAAATTTGGGGCATTTTCATATTTCAAAAGGTTACGAGCGACTGCTTCTACATAAATGCACATTCATAATATTTCACAAGAAAATGAGTGCTTTCAAGTCTAATTTAATAAATTAGCGTATTACCTGATTGACCGCGAACACGGGCATTCCACAGCAAAGGCATAAACAAACAGAACATCGCCAAGCGTTTCATCTTTCTATCTAATAACATATAGCGAAGCGTTTCGCTCCGAACCAAATGCTTTTAACATTTAAATTAAGGAAGTACGAAAATGTCATGCAAGTGCTTGCATTAATACAAAGAGCATTTTGATCTTTGACAAAAACAATTGACCACCCCCTTCATTATTTTGTCGAAAGAGTTCGCTAAAAATGTCAGAGCCTCATTGGGGAAAGGATTGTGTTCGGTTAAATAACATATATATATATATATATATAGCGTACCAAGAATAATAGATCTCTAAGGAAGTGTAAACAAAATTGAAATGAATTTCATGCTTGAAATTTGCAATGTAAATAACAGCAATTCGTGCGTAATATTGTGTTCAACTGCGTTTTCAAGTCTTTAAGGTACAAATAACTGCTGAATCATGCAAATTCTAAACATCTGCTGGCTTCAACATGGCCTTGTTTCTTTCAGAAACAAAGAGGTGCCCGACGGTGTATTCCGCGCATCATATTTCAGGTATCGTCACAGAATAGATACATATCTATTCTGTGGTATCGTGGCCAGAGATTGCCAGTCGGAAAGCGGATTTTTGCTGTAAACAAAAAAGCACAACATAATACTTTTAATAAAGCATTAATAATTACGTTTCGTCTTTAACTAAAGACATCTTCACATATTATAAAATAATAAATATTTACATTGAGCTTTAAATATAAGCATATATATAAGCATAATGTTGCCCTCATATGTTAAATTACATAAGAGGAAAATAGGAAGTTTGGATGACAGGTCAGAATGGAAAGGGCAACATTAATGAAGGGGCATAGAGAATGTGAAGGGGATTGAGTTGCTTTTGAGTGTTAAGAGAGGTTGGTTTTAGCTTAGATATGAGAAGACTTAGGAATCATAAGGTTGTAATTGTCAAATAAAGAAGAGAGAATTTAGAAATTGGAAGATGGTGGTGGACAAGAGAAAGGTTTCCCTGTTAAGGGAGAAATTCAAAGTATTCCGATATTCTGATTTGCAAATGACGTGTGGTTTCACAGAGGTGAAACGTCTAGGGGGGATTGTGGGTTGTGACACCCCCACAGTCAGAATGGCAGGGAAAAAGACATTCTTGCAGGGCAAAAGCATGCTGCACGGAAGTTTTTAGCCGTTTCATAATTTATTCAAAAAACCTAATTGAAAAGAAATGATATAACAATAAGTTTCCCGCTTTTTTGCAGCATCTTTCTTTTTGAATACATCACTATAGCGTATTCTTCGATATATTTCTTGAAAAAACTTGTCTACAAAGTAATGTTTCTATGGAATTTCTATTAAAAATGTTTTCGTTATTGTACCATCATCCCCTTGAACACCAGCATAAATCAACACGGGAATCACTTAATTCTTTTCCTTACTTTTCCAAAATGTATATTTTAATATTTGAAAGAAAATCAGCTCTACATATAGGATAATAAATAAATCCTATTAAAATTAATTGTTTCATGCAAGCATGATGTATTTTATGTCCACATTTTAAGAATAAATGTCCAGTAAATGTCTTCCAAACATATCATAAAATCATCGTATGCACTATCTTTTTTGCATACATGAAAATGAAATTCTTTTTTCTTTTCGATACACAAACCACAAGTATCAAAATGAAATAATGCATGTGACCAATTCTACATGAATGACAATACACAATTTACACCCACACATTTCCTGTACACACAATACAATGACGTAAGAACAGATAACAAATACGGCTAACGTGACGTTTACTCCTCATTTGACTCTGAAGATGACTACCGCTAAGGTTGTCGAAACGTCAGTCAACAACAAAAAAAAACAGTCCTTCTCAGGATCTTACTTATTATTAATGATATCAAAGAAACTATTAAATACACCAAGAAGTAATTTTTACGCAAGAAATGATAACAATTGTCTCTACATAGCTCATCATAAGAAATTTCATAATAGAAATTGTGACTGTAAAACTTTTTTGTTATTTGATGATTTTCGTTGGAGGGGAAATATTGTTCATTGGTTGCAAAATCGTAAAGAAATAACTCAACGCAATCAACTGCTACTGCGCGAAAGAAAATTGACATTTATCTTCATTGAAGTACAGTGCTATGTTGATAAATCATATTAGTCTAGGCAAGGACTGCGTTCTTTAAATTTCAATTATCTATAATGGACTTGGGCAAAACAAAACAATGCACAATTCTCACATTGATTCATATTGAGTTCTATGTGCATGGATTTAAATATTTAAATGCCTTGCTTCTGCAGCATTTGAACATAAGAGATTGAGGATAACAAAGGAAAAGATCTTTTTCCTTTTCTAACAAATGAGTAAAATTATTGAAAGAAATGTGTTTGTAAAGACTAAAGACAAGTCACATATATTTGTAAAAGATGACAGTAATGGACTTTTTTATTATTAGAAAACACTTCTTGGAGTCATAATAGTTAGTAGACGTGCATGCAATCCTGCAAATGTGACGATCTTTTCTCTGCTTGTGACGTATTATATTCAAAGCTATACACTATATAGCTACTACACACAATACTTATTTGTTCTTAATTCTGCATTGCAAGAAACTGAGTTAACTATTGGTTAACTAGCCTTAACTATATGAAACAATTAAGTATGCCTTGGTGATTTATAAGTCTATTTTCATCAAAAGCTTGGGAATTTTCTTCAATTCTTATTTCTACTTTTTAAATCATCAATAGAGCTTTCTGCTTCTTAAAAAAATATTGTCAGGAAAGATAGTATGAACATTAAAAATGAACAATTTCTGCAAAGAAAATACATGATGAAATAACAATAAAACTTACTGATCAACTGTCATGTATCTTCTCTGCTTGTGTAATAAACTATATGTATATATATCAGAGAACATGGACCTTCACCACGCATGCTGCCAAAATCGTTTATGTATTTAAAAAACAACATAATTGTATCTCACACAGATAATACATAAGAGACTAGCCATTGACAAAAAATCTTATAAAGCTCATATATCTTTACATGTATGATCATTGGTAGACTTAACAAAACATTTATGATATAGGACCTCTTCGTTTTAACATAATTCAGCTTGTTTTCCAATGAATTTACAGTCCATATGATATTTAATGAAGGAAAATGCTTGGAGGGAAACCTGCAATTCGATTAATTGATACATCCTAGGCTATAAGATTCATTGCTCGAATAACATTATTTCTTTGTTGGTAAATGAATGAATTATACTTCACACTCTCTGGTGGAAATTTATGGAATACTAACATATTTAAAGCATGGGGTGAAATAAAGAAAAGCGCGGGAGTCCCTGTCCATATATGGTAAACCTCTCCATAATAAGGAAACACCCCAGGAACGCGCTTCGACTTTTTTCAAATGTGCGAAGGAGATGCATCTGTATTTTGAGGTAAGTGAAATTTTCTTTGTTTGTTCGTTCCTAGTTTCTCTTCTAGAAAGTATGGGTGATCCATACTCATTTTCGGTGGACAATGAGTTCGTATAACATGCCTTAAATCGACCCGATTACAGAACACGGAAAATATTTGTATGACAACTGAGCAAAACAGTTGCTGTTTGATCCTGAGGCTAAACAGCCAAACTGTGAACCTTCGGCAACGTTTAAACAGTTTTTAGAGACGAATTTTCGCCGCACTCTTTCCTCTACACGGATATTTGGCATTTTAGAGGAAACCTCTGTCCCAGACTTAGATGTATTTATAACCCCTAGACTTGACAAGGCCATTGAGGATCAAATTTCAAAAAAAATTATCGAAAATCAGTCACCGCGATAAGGAATTGTTAAAAGTACAGAGACATGTGTTAAACGTAGGTGCTCCTTCGACTGCCCTCCACGATCTGATTGAAAACAATCAAGACTTATCACATGATGAATTATTAAGTTTTGTTGAGCGGGCTATTTGTTTGCTAGGAAACGCAGCCAACTCTCTTTCCGTGTTGCGTAGATCTAAGATCTTATACGCAATAAATGCAACAAAGATATCTATGCCCGAAGCATTGATTTCTATTAAACTAACTGGATATACAAAGGGCCTGGGAACTGTTGTCAAAAACAGAGTTTGGAGAGTTGATGGAAAGGCATTCATACGACGAAAACTGATTCTTTGGAGTTTTGATGATTTTTGGCTTGGTGTGCCGAGTCCCGATTGCTCATTAGGTGACAGTCGTGTCGTGTACTTTCTTGTCGAGCCATCTAGATGCTAGGTATAACTTTCTTTCTTTTTGCTGAGAATTGTTTCACCTAAATAATAAACTATATTTTCCTAAATAATAAAATAGCTTGATATTTTCCAATTACATTATTATACAGTTTTTTACTATACCTGAAGTGAATGTAATAAGAGATATGTTTACATGTTTGTAAATGTAGATCGTCCAGGTTGGTATAGTCCTGAGGACTGTTTTTGTTGTTGTTGACTAACGTTTCGACAACCTTAGCGGTAGTCATCTTCAGAGTCAAATGAGGAGTAAACATCAGGTTAGCCGTATTTGTTATCTGGTTCTTAGGTCATTGTATTGTGTGTACAGGAAATGTGTGGGTGTCAATTGTGTATTGTCATTGTGAATTAGTGTGAAGTTAATGTTTTTAGTTGATCGTTTGTTTCTATTGTGAATGAGTCGTTTGTAAGGTGCCGGTAATTGCTGTGATCTGTTCAGGGGGGTTTGTTCCAAGATGGTATACCAACTTTCTAATGTAAGCCGTTGTCAATAGTCAGTACTGTAAGTAATGCATTTTGCCGAGTCCCAGTCAATGTTGTGCTTTGCGATTCGGTGATGTTCGGCAATGTGATTAGTTTTGTCTTGTTTCTTTATAGCTCGTTTGTGTTCAGTAAGTCTTATGTTTAAGCTCCTGCCAGTTTCCCGATATAAGAGGCATGGCAGTCGGAGCAGTTTATTTTGTAAACTGCACCTTGTCGTTCGTTGGATTGTTCTTTGTCCTTTATGTTCGTTAGTACTTGTCGTAACGTTGTGATTGGTTTATGTGCGACACATATGTTGTATGGTTGTAAGATACGCGAGATAGTCTCAGACGTACCTTTGATGTAAAGTATCGTTGCTGTTGTCACTGAGTTGTTCGTTTCGTTGAGTTCGTTGGGTTATTTTTTTGTTTGATGAAGTCAGAGTTATAGTTGTTTTTGTCAAAAACACGTTTGAGGTAGTTGTTTTCGTTGTGTAGAGCGTCCGATGAGTCACATATGATTTGTGCACGTCTTGTTAATGTTCTGATTGTGGTGAAACAAAATATGCAAATTTACAATAAGAAACAAAATATACAAATTACGATAGCTTTCATTAAAATGACAGGTATTGAAACTGAAAACGTTTTTGTATCTTTGTGCACAAGCCTACTCATGGTGATAAAATACGTTTTACTCCACCTTTGGTGAGTAATAAGGAATAAGTTTTTGAAGCGGTTGAAATAATGAAGAAAACATTGGATTCTCTCACTGTGTGAATTATGACATAACCTAATTATAAGCCCCCATAAGAAGCAATGGTTGGGAATTATTTGTGTGAAGAATGTGGAAACAAAAAAAGTATGAATTCTTTTAATTTGTGGTGGCTCTTAAAAGAGCCGTTTTTTTTGTTCTGTGAACGATTGAAATGTATTTCTTGGGTGTCTTTTTGCTACCAGGCTTCTTCGTAGTCTTCTTTGGCGTTGTTTTTTTCCCTGTCTTCTTTGCTGGAGATTTGGTTTTACTTTTCTTTGCTCCTCCAGCTGGTTTTCATTAGTTTATTTCTTAGCTGGCTTCTTTTTCTCGGAAGCTTTCTTTGTAGCCGTTTTCTTCGCTGTCATTTTCTTGGTTTTCACTGTTTTTTCGTCAGCTAGCTTCTTAAAGACTGTCTTCTTGACGACAGGCTTTTTGGTTTCTCTGGTTTTTCCTTGTATAAAATATTGATAAAATAGAAAGTGAGACATAGAAAACAAAAGCTTGGTGTCAAAATACCTTAGACAATTCATGTCGCAGATACCTAATTATATTAACATTGCAATACTAGGTGTTTGTCATGGCCCTTGCCAAGGGGGTGTTAGCTGTGATACTTCGAAAAGCGTTTTTTATAACATCTACTGACTTTTAAACAACACCAGTTTACTAAGATTTTTGCAAGTCTTTGTACCTTGATTTTTTTCGTTCACTGTTTTACACAGATGGTGCATGCGTATTTTCACAAAAGCTTTAGAGCAACACTTTAACTTATAAATATGATTATCTGTTGCCACTGAGTCCAGCATATGCTGATTCAGTGTAGTAAAAACATTTCCCTTAGTACACACAGCTAAAACAGTTCTAGAAAGTGCACTGCCAATGTTAGAACCGTGTGGCAAGCCACCATCGCAAGAATTTATCATTTTCATTACACATTTTTTCAGTTTCACGGCATACCTGGAGAACATCGTCAGTTGGTATTTTCAGGCCGCCGTGGCTTTTCCACGATACAAACAGATCAGGAGCTTTATCTTTTGATGTATGCAGAGCAGCAATATATGTGTCACATTTGATCTTTCTTGCAACCATTCTTACAACATAACCTGCATTTGAAAGAATGTTTTATGCAGTGCGTTGTTTGAAATTAAATGAAGATGTGATCTTCGTACTTAAGCAATTTACCATTTCTAACCCTTGACCTCTGCGGTGCCGGTGCATTACTCTGACCAACTGAGCTATGAAGTAACACAACGGGGTTCGAGTCCCGTTGAGTCACCTGAATATTTCAGGTTCATGAGACAATTACTTAAATTGTCCAGCAAAGTGCGAAGATCATATCTTCATTTAATTTCAAACACCGCACTGCATAAAACATTGTTTCATATGACATTCCTTTAACGAGAAAACATGAGCCCAACAAAATTGACTTGCTCACCACTGTGTGACTTCATAGCTCAGTTGGTCAGAGCACTGCACCGGCACCGCAGAGGTCATGGGCTCGAATCCCGTTGAGTCACCTGAATTTTTCAGGTTCATGAGACAATTGCTTAAATTGTCCAGCAAAGTGCGAAGATCATATCTTCATTTAATAACCTGCATTGTAAGATATAGGTGCTTCCTTATACTCAGACACGACAGTTAGATACGTCACAATAATAACGATCGTCTTCATCGACGATCGACGCAATGATCGACGCAACTTCATGTCATGTCTTCTTGCCGTTGTCATATCTAAAATATCTGCAGATAATTCATTTGTTTCACGGTCATTTACTAGGGTCAAAATTTCAGTACTATCCTGAGCAATGCAGTTACCGTGACCTCCTTTGAGGTTATGTCTCATGAGTAACTGCTTGTATGATGATTTGAACTGACGTGACGTTGGGTTGTTACTCCAAACGCCAGCTGCTCGTACTGAGGAAAAGAAAAGATCTAAATGATCTTGGCTCATCTTATAAATCAAAAGATACCTGAGAACGGGGTTTTCACAAACAAAAGGATCCTCTGCTAATCCCTTCACGGCATCAATGCACATCAGAAAACCAAGAAATCCTGTTTTCCTCTTATGTGCAAGAACAGACTTACCATCAGCAGTCTTCAATTCTTTATGTAATCATTTGTCTAATTCAAGAAATTCCTTTGATAAGAATAGTTACACCTTCTAATGGGTGCCTTATAGTCCCTTGCTAGCGGATTTCGTGAATTTAGAACATCAAATAGACGATCAAAAGTGCGAATGAACTTTACAGTTGCATCCTTCGAACTGAGGAAGTTTAAGCGTACCTTCACAATATTCTAAAGCATCTGCTACACTGCTACTCAGTGCTTGCACCGCAAGGTTTACCTTAATTTTTTGAGATTGCCTGTGGATGTGAGCAGAACAAAGCTTGTTGGCTAACAGCAAGCCTTCACATTCCTGTAATTCTACCAGTTTAACCAAGTAACTCCACTTTATAAAATCGTTATTTGCATCTTTCAGTTCTCCCAACTGAGTCAATGCACCTCTTACCAATTTGTTCATGTGACATGCATCTAAAAAGATACAAATTTTCAAACGTGAGTCACATGGATGCAAAAAGTATGCCCGGAAATTATCTTATGAAAGCTTTGCACCCAATAACTTCATCATTGATTGCCATTTCATTCAAGATCAAAACGCAAACAAGTTCTTTGTGTTCTAGCCCCGCTGATTCTGCATTTAACTTCATTGCAACAAATGCATCACGTGTAAAACCTGGTTCAACATCAATGAGGTTGTACCATGTGCGAATTGTGTTTGGATGAGGCAAGGCTAAATTAAACTTCTCACGCACATATTGAAAGGCTTTTCTAGAATCGAACTTCAAAATGAGAGCAAATGATCTAAGCTCATTAGGATACTCCATACCTTTCGAGCATTTATTTTGAGATACTAACCTATTCATTATGTCTCCTGGAACTCTTGACAAAGTATTATTGAGAATTTCTGCTCGATCTTTATTTATCAAGCCATCCTCTTTCAAGCTATAAACAACTGAGGTTAGGCTGTCGACCTTATCGTGTAACCTACTATTTTGAAACTTACAAGTCTTCAGCTTCTTTTTCATTGATTCAGTTTTATCAACGACTTCCTCTAATTGTCACTTTAATCTACGAGGAGATTTACAACTGTAGATATGATCAAGTAAAGCACTGTTAGAAATAATAACCTGATTATTATTTTCCTCAATGGCTTCGGTCTGAGTCAAGCCAACTGATACATTTTCAAAGCTGGAATGAAGACTAGACCTTATACTATTTGCACATGGGACTTCCTCATTTAAAATACATGATTCAATACATGCTTCATTCAAAGGAAGGCTTACTGACATTTTTACATTACTATCAGAAGCAGACAGACTTTTACCCCCCATCAACTTCATTCTTTTTAGTCTATAAAGAAACAAAGCAGTTAAAAAAATTGTTTACAGGTAATTTAATCTCATTGCACATACCACAACATTTTTGAGTATTGTTGGAACTGCATTACTTTCCAACAGCACTTTACCGCCAGCCCTTCTTTTATCCTTTTCATTAAAATTGTCTGAACAGACTCCACTGGACTTGTGAGGGGTAAACTCAGAAGCAGCAGTAAATTTCCCCTGATATTCCTTACCCACTGCTGGAACAAGCCTGGCTTCTTTGCTGCATTTGGAAAACTAAATAGTATTTAAAATAGTATGAACGGGATATGAAAATAAGCAATATTTTCAAAGTACAATTTAAACACGTATATGGCGTCATACAAACGATTACCAAAGAGTAAAATAAAAAAAACATATTGCATTAAAGTTGTTTCACTTACCGGTAAAATGAGATGTTGGATTCCTTTGTGTTGATACGGCACCCTAGCACCGCATAGTATTTGGGCATTCTGAAAATACAAATAAATAAATGACCAAGAGATTGCTTTTGTAAACAGACGTCGCGCAGTATGAAATTTTAATTTCAATATAAACTCCGGAGGGGAGAACAAGTTTTAAAAACATGAGCCTTTACAACTCCGCTGACATTTTTACCCAAAATTTGCCATATAAGGTATGGCGGCATCCATGTTTTTGACAACATGTTACGCTTAATAATCTATAATAATTTTGATGAGATTGTACGTCCAGGTAAATAGTATAATGCCAGTGGGCCGAAGCCCCTTTCGCTAACGCGAGAAAGCAGTTATTTGGCAATGACATTACCAAAATCGCGGCTGATAGTGCAGACATAGTCCGCAATTAACAAAAGAATCTTAATCAACAACATCAAAATGTAGCTTGCTCGAAACCACAGCTAAAGAAGTATAAGGCAAGAAACGAAAATTTCGCCCAAATCACTTCACCCCTTATCGATACGCTCAGCAAACGAAAGGAAAATTTCCTTAACAGTCCTTTCGGGGAAAGCAAAACAACAACTACCACTAACAGGGCGCCTTCCTTATTTCATAACAAACTGGTTAAATATTACTTAAGATATCACTATTTTAAACATTGTTCGCGGTGATCAGATTCAGTTTCAAAGTGCTCCGGTACAAAAAGTTGTTCCTCTTCCGTCGTTGACCAACCTCACGTTAGTAAGCCAAGAGATAGAAAGTTGTTATGCAAGAACGCCATCAACGTGTACAGTTTGACAATCAAGCATTTAACCACAGAATGTTTCTAGTTACAAAAAAAGACGGAGGGCAACGGCCAGTGTTAGACTTAAGCCCTCTTAACAAATTCATACAAGTAGAGCACTTCAAAATGGAAAACCTTATGACAATAAAATCACTAATAAACAAAGGAGACTTTATGATAAATATAGATCTGACAGACGTGTATCTAACGATTCCAATGCATCCTGACTCACAGAAATTGGTTCGTTTTCTGTGGCAGGGTCAGTCTTACCAATTCGTGAAAATGCCGTTTGGTCTGAATACAGCACCAAAAATATTTACCAAGTTAATGAAGCAAATAATATCTTGGCAACGAGGGCAGGGGGTTCGGACGATCATTTTCTGGACAATATACTTGTACTAGCCCACATAATCAAAGAGTTAAATCACCACAAACGAACGACAATAAATGTCTTGGAATCTTTAGGATTTCTCAAAAGTTACAGAAAGTCATCTCTAGTCCCCACGCAGAGGATTCTTTTCTTGGGGATGATGATAGACTCGGTAAGGATGGAATTTATCTTTCCAAAGGAAAAATCTCGAAAGATTGTACAGGAATGTCAACAACTTTTGACGAAACACAAATCGTCCATCAGACAAATATCGCGGGTTTTAGGCCTTCTAGAATTTACTCGACCGGCAATTTGGTCCGTTTCCTTGCATTATTGGCACATTCAATTAGTGCAGATAAAATCGTTACACAGGTCACCCGATTACAACACGACGGTGACGCTCACCAAGGAGGAAATAACAAACTTGCATTGGTGGATAAACAACCTCCCATCCCTGGGGAGAATTCCTATCATTTCATTAACAGCAGACTTAACAGTCTCCTCGGATGCCTCAAAACGGGCTAAGGAGCTTCTTGGGACAACATTCAAACCGAAGGACGATGGAATGCACTTGAGTGCCAAGATCACATAAACCTTTTGGAACTCAGGGCAGCTTCCTTTGCCCGAAAAATCGTTCATGAAATTTCAGAGCAACAAAGTGGTTTGTTTAAAGATCGACAACTCCACTGCAGTAGCGTACCTAAACAACAAAGGGGGCACCCAGTCTCAGCAGTTGCTATTGCTGACATTAGAAATATAACAATGGTGCGAGACAAGACACCTTTATCTTCTTTCCCAATATGTTCCAGGAAAGAGCAACGTGGTGGCAGACGAGGAGTCACGGAAAATAAAGAATCACAACGACTGGGAGATAAATCCGAATGTCATCAAGAAATTGATATGTGGATGTTAAGTAGATCTTTTCGCTTCTCGCCTGGCACGTCAACTGAAAGCCTACGTCAGTTGGCGACCTGACCCAGGGGCTATCCATGTGGACGCGTTCAGGATGACGTGGACGAATCTAGTGCTCCACTAAAGCACTATTTTTTGGTCCAGTCTCTGACGTCTTAACGTTTTTAGCAGAACAATTCGAGCAAAGAAAGCAATACAGATCGATTAACGTACTACGATCAGCTATTTCGTCATCATATGCTTACGTAGATAGCAAACCTATCGGGCAACACCCTTGGGCGGTGAAGCTCATGAAAGGTGTCTCCAACACACTTGGGATATGGCAAAGGTAACTAAATACTTGGCTGGTTTAGAAAAAAATGTCGAATTATCTATAAAACAGCTAGCGTAAAAACTTTGTATGCTTATGTATCCAAAATTTAGGGAAGAATTGCTATGTCCAGTGGCATGCCTTACAGACTACCTAGATAAAACAAAAGAATTGCGAAAGAACAGGGGGGACAACATGAAACAACGCTTATTCCTCTTTTTTAAGAAACCGTATAAACCGGTTACAGCATGGGCACTATCGCGCTGGCTTAAGGAGGTGATCCATGAATCAAGTATAAAAGATATATTCGGAGGATATGTTCGAGGAGCATCTACGTCAACAGCAAAGAAGAATTGCTATGTCCAGTGGCATGCCTTACAGACTACCTAGATAAAACAAAAGAATTACGAAAGAACAGGGGGACAACATGAAACAACGCCTATTCCTCTCTTAAGAAACCGTATAAACCGATTACAGCATGGGCACTATCGCGCTGGCTAAAGTCTGGACATGATTTTATCCATGGCATACTGGACTAATCCGTCAAGGTTTAATAATTTTTATTACAAGCCTAGTTTACCCGTTTCTTATGGAGCAACTGTGCTGTCGCAGAAATAAATTTGGTATTTTTAGATACAAGTCATATGCGATATAATTTTGATGAGATTGTACGTCATATATGTATTCCATAC